TAGTATTTGAAATAATTTGTGGTGTTATACCTTGTCAAACGCCTTCTCGAATTCGAATAAACAAGCGTAAACATTGAAGTTTACGTTCCTGTTCTTCTGTATCAGGACCTGAGTAGAAAACAGGGCTTCTCACGTTCCCATTCCACTTCTAAATCAGAACTGAACCTTGCTCATGTTTTCTTCGAGCTTTATGTGTATACGAGACTGGATGATGTTAAGTAGGAGATTCAGTACATGCTTCATCAGACTTATAATTCGGTAATCAGACCACCTAATAGCATTTGCTTTCTTATTAAGGGGAATAAATATGGAAACCAGTCAGTCTCTAAGCAATTCTCCCGTTTGATATATTGTGTTAAGTAGTATTTTCAGTAGTTTAATTTGGGAGTTTTATAATATCTGCCTGAACATTGTTATTGCCGAGCCTGAATTAGCATGGTTTCTGCCAATTGGTTTTCCTCGAACAGCTCGTCCATGTGCTCTCTCCAGATTTATTTTATATCCCGAATCAGGGTTTTCACGAACAAGAAATGTCACGCATATGCAGCTAACTAGTTAATCGGTATTTTTATACCCAAGACCTTCAAAGCCTGAAACCGATCAAGGAATGGACCAAGAATCACAGGCCAACGGCGAAAGAAATTACTCAGTCCTTCTGGGATGTAAAACCTTCTTCGGTTGGGCCTTGAGTTGACAAAAATTACCAGCTATAACATGTCGGTCGTCATCGATGTTTATCGGATGAACAAAGCAACCATTTAAAAGACGTTCGGTATTTCAAAACGACAAAAGCTGCCCTGGCGTCATCTTTCACCCCGTGGACAATTAATTACGAAAACGTCATTTTCCCTGTGACGACGGCGAAGATAAATCTGGCCATGATGGACCGAAGCTCATGGTGGCGTCAAATATTCATTGAACCACCTCAGTCCATAAATTTCAGGTGAATATACGCGAAGTGGCATGTCGCGAAACAGGAGCAACGCGACCTCCGATACGTGTGCGTGTTTGTCGACGGGGATGTGTGATTACACAGACCGGCTGGGAATTCAATTTGGGGATTGCTCGCCGTCGGTAATTTGATAAGAATAGCGTCAGCGTGGGAAAAAAACGAGAGTTAGCTTTTGCCCTGGACGATGTTGATGCTCCGTTACTTGCTTTCCATTAGTTAATTTAAACCAGTTTTTGTTTCGGTTCCGTTGTGCGATATTGCAGTTTGCTGAAAAAATAAATATTTGTGCAGGGTGTACGCGCCATAGGACAAATTCAAATTTTGTTCCAATGGTGATTTTTTCAAAAGTCATTTAAAAATATATACTCTTAGTTGCTCCGGCTTGTGATTCATTATTCATTTGACTCATTAACCTACAGAAGCATACACATATAAAAACAAAGTCTCTGTATACAACACAGCACCATGTATCAATTACTGTTACCTAAAATTCATACTTTACAAATTATGGCAATTTTTCGAAAATTAACTTTCAACACCTTATGTGTCAAATTTCTTGCAGAGTATATACTGTAGAAGAATACATAGTTGCTGAATTTCAACCCCCACCACTACGACTTTGGAAGCTGTAGAAGACACGAGGATCGTCAAGTGTCGATAAATAAAATATTTAAAATATTGTGCAAGTTTGGCCACGAGTTTAATTTTCGCTAGGTTTCTTTGCATAGACATGATCAGAGTACAGCGAAGTAAGTGTTTAATAAACGAGTTACTGAAGAAGTTATTTATAAACCCAAAGTCAAAGGAGGCTGCCCAATCACAGGATAGCGCATATTATACATGGTCGGGAAGAAACAACTACATCTTTCTCACATATATGGTGATCTAGTAGAACTCAAGGGTAAGGAAGGCCTATAGGAAATGATGATTATGAGCGAGATTATGCTATAGAGAATTCAGGAAAATCCTCAAATAGCACTAAGATCAATCTCTCACAGAAAAAAGTTCGTCAATATTTTACAGTTTTGAGACGTAGGCAAATGAATTATTCTGCAATTCTGCAACTTGCTTAATTTAAATACTCTATACAGGGCATTTCATGATTATCCGCATACTCATACTTAATGATAATTATTAAAACTATTACAGGTAATAATAAGTAAGAGCGTATAGGCAAATATAGCTAAAGTTGTTGCTGAATATTGTTTTATTTTTGTAGCACATAAAAGGGCGGTCGTCCTCATTAAACATTTTTTAATGCTTTATTCAATCGGATAACAAAAATAAATTATAATTCTTGCATTAACAATACAGTATTGGCGAAAAGTACACTAAGCGTAGCACTTGCTATTGTGAAATATACACCTAGTTTAGACAAAAATATCGCTATTTCCGTTTTCGTAAACATTAAAAAGGAAATTGGTGTGGTCTGTCATTCACGTTTATTGCATAAAGTTGACAAAATGTGTATCAGAGGGCCACTTTTGTTTCTTATTCGCTCTTTGTTAAGTAAAAGAAAACAATTTGTGCCTGTCAGAGAGTTGCACAAAAGAAATCAAAATGCAATACTGCAGGGTTCCCTTTTGAGACTTTTCCTGCACTCACCACTAATTTTTATTTTAAAGAAAGCTGGACTGGTAAGGTATTACCTTGTTTTTGTATTTAGATCCTAATATAGATTGGAACAAACAGTAAACGTTGAGTTGCCCAGATTTTATTGCTCCTTACTTTCTAATAAACTAAAAATTAATGTCGACAAGACTAGCTTTATGGTTTCCAGTAAAAAAGTAAAGCTACTCGTCTTATTGAATTGGAAATAACTAACAACGATATCACTCAAATCTCTCAAGTAAAATTACTGGGTTTGGTTGTTGACGACTTAAAATTCTATTTAACTATGAATATTTTACACTAACAGACACACTAGTATTACTTAAAAGTAATACTAGTCTTATTAGTAACATGATGATGTGCGTAGCACTAACATATATTGACATAATATAAGACTTATCTTACCTTACTATTATACACTATTACTATTGTTTTTTTTCTTCTTTTTTACATGCCGTCTTCTAACGAAGCTTGGTGACCGCACATTTAAACGCTTCTCTGTTCCTTGCAACACGAATTAGTTCTTCTACATTCATATTTGTCCAGTCTCGAACATTTCTCTGTTCTCATCTATGACTTCTTTTTTCTACCAACCTCTTTTCATCATTCTTCATTGCATGATGGTAAAGCGTATTTTTCATTTCGAAGTAAATGGCCCAGGTAAGGTGTTAATACTTCTGCTAAGTATTCATCAGTAGAGCCACATTTCCAATGAATTCTCTTTAACGTCTGAGTTTTAAGTGTCCAATTCTCTACCCCATACAACAAACACGAGAATTCTAAATATGTTCTTATTACTTCTTATTGGCATCTTCAGACTTCTATTATCAATTTCGACAATAATTTTTACTTCTCTTTCTAGAACAACCAAATCTTCTTATCTACTTAAACAATTTACTAATTTGTTAGAGCACCATTGCTTTAAGGTTGCTCTATTCAGTTTAGAAATATTTATTTATTTCTTGTTACTATATGTTATTTAACTATTGTTAGGGCAAGAATTGTAATTTATTTTTGTTATTCTATTGATGTTTGAATAAAACATAAAAAAGTATTGAAAAAAATGGAAACTTATAATTATCCAACCGTGAAAAATTAAACTTCTTGATACAGAAGGCGAAAGTTTTAGTTAGCCGGAAACTGTAGGGTAAAATAAATCCAAAATACTAATAGACTTTAAATATAAAACAATTGAAAAGACAACAGTCTATTAAACTTTTTATATTTTAATGTATTTTCCCTTATTGAACACTGTCTGTGGTCGCACATCCGTCGCCCTGAATTTTTTATTCAATATTTTTATCGCTAATCAAGCGATCAACGTATCACATAGATATTGTTTTTTTCTACTCGCATCTGTAAAATAACTAATTACCCACCCATCTAGCGTGCGGGAAGCGTCGCTTTACCACGTCAGTTTCCTTTCCCACGAATCCGAGCCACTTCGGACATTTCCGGGATTTTACCAAACGGATTTGGGAGCAATCGGATGTTTTCGGTGATATTTCCCACGCCTTGAATTTTGACGTTTGTCAATTCTGACGGATATGTCAGTGGATGTAGTCGTGTTGTTTTGCGAACATGTAACCTAAACTAACGGTCGTAGAAAAAGTATAGTACGCAACACGTTCGGTAAAATTTTTAACTCATCCGTGTACCGCACTTGTACTTGTACATATACTATTGTAACATATGTTTGCCTTTTAATAAGGTCTTAATAAATGTAAATTTATAGTTAACTACTTTGTACCTTGTACACCAAAGAATTAATTACCGAATTAAAATTTCCTCTTAAAATTTTGAAAGGCCAAAATCAAATATATTTAGATATACTAGGTGCACAAATTACGTCAAAATCATTGTAATTATGAAATAAGGGTAGTTTGTTTTTGATAAAAGAGAGCCTGTAGTGCAACGAAAATCCTATTTCTTATTAAAAGCACAGATGTATACAGCAACGCACTTTTTCCTGTCTCACGCCTTGAATTCTGACGGTCATGTCAGTGAATGTATTCGTATTATTTTGCGAAAATGTATCCAAAAACTAAGGGTCGTAGAAAAAATATAGCATGAAACACATTCGGTAAACTTTTTAAGTCACTCGTTTATTAAACACTCGGTCCGCTCGTGTCAAATAAACTCGTGAGTCAAATGCCGTTTACCGCACTTGTTGCATAATATACTATTGTATTATGCAAATTGAAAATAAACGCTTACCAGCAAGTAAATCTACAGATTGTGATTCGCATTTTACACTCTGTTAAGTTTTAAATTACGTCTTTCCAAAAAACAACACCTTCAATCTTGTAAACAATGGACCACTAACTTCCTACTGTTGACATGGTGTCAAAATTTAGTGGCTATTTTTAGAACATATTTAAACCTGCTGTATATAACTGAAGTTTATTAATAGTAAATTAACCCCATTTTGTTGCAGAAGACTGGGGTTCGAAGACTTACTGCTGTATGGAAGACGCATGCAACTCTTCCCACCACCCGCTTTTCTCTTCAGCATTAGTTGTATTCCCAGTGATGGTCGCGGTAACGGGTTTACACTGAGAATAACAGGAGAAAATCGAAGATGTGAAGAAAATCGAAGGAGTACTTTTATTAATTAGATCTGCATATCAGTAATAGAAAAACGATCACCAAACACTTCGCAAATTGTTTATTTGATTCCCATAATGTTTCAGTTTTTTTTTATGTTTTCCAGTGATATCGCGGTAAAAGTACTCTTCTCATTCCGAGTTAGAACGAGCAAGGTACATAGCATTGTAAGAAAATATTCCTGAAATATATTCTAAATAGCTTTCTCTCACTTAACTTAATCATCCTCAAGTATACAGGTGTTGTATGAGTATGCTGATCACGTATCTACAAAATCGTGAAAAAGCAAACGCCTTCGACCACGTTATTGTGCAAAGGGCAACGACTTTAAGATTGACGAACTGTTCACAATTCTTAAATTGTTCGGTTATTTTGGTTCTTATTAAGGTTTTACAAAGAGTAAGTTGTTCCTAATTTGTAAAGCCACATTTTCCTAGCTTTTATTTATAACTGATGCTACTGACAAGCAATCCATTGAGTATTTACCAACCATGATTATTCTTGACACATAATAAAGCAGAAAGGCAAAAGTTGAATTTTTTGCATCCTGATTTTGGACACACTGTACCCTGCGAAGAACCTCCGTTATTAATAAAGCTACCGTGATTTGATAGCCCCGTTACTTTTAAAAAGAAATTAGCAACCTGTCACAGCTCTCTTTTCTTTTAGATACAGAATGAAATTAAAAATTTGCCATATTTAGAAAAAATAAAATATCTCAAAAACGGTTTAGAGTACATCTGGAATATGCAAGGAATTGAAAAATGCAATAATATATGAAGCATGGCATTAAAAAGACAAAAGTTGACAAACATGTTCGGTATAAACGTTAAATGCTGTTAATTTTTCAAATTTTTATTAAGACCCCTTCGCTTTTGAACATCATATACAACGAGTTCCCTAATCTTTTTCGATAACAAAATATGTAACAGTTTTCCGAATATTTTGAAATTTTGAAATTGGGCTGATTATATTTGATAATGATTTTTCTTGAATAAAACTTGACACGCTTATTTGAGTTAACGGGTCCACCGAGAACAAATTTTAGCTGGCTTTTAAAAACGTACAAAATATAATTCGGAATGTCCCGTCTTGGATGCCAATTCCAATTATTAAATAAATTCTTGCTTCCACTAGCAGATGCAGATCGTAGAAGTATCGGTAAGAGTTTGTTCTGGTCTATATTTAACTAACTACCGTTTTCACCATATTTTTAGGAGCCATCTAACTCTACGTGACACCTGTACTTAAGTTAGGTTAGACCTTTGTTTTCTAGACTACTAAAGTCGCTGGTAATGTTAGCACACTTGCCAGAAATCCTCAGTAAATGATCATGTACCAATAAATTAATCTAGAAAAAAAAATGGAACATTTTGGTAAAGATTCGAATTGTTATACGGAAATTGCCGCCTACAATCTTAGTTACTTTTTCAAATACTTATTTTGCCAAGTGTCTTTTATCTCTTTATTAACATCCACGATTTTCATACATTTTGCTTTAGGGGAAACTGTTTTATTTTTAAGGAGCTGATTCTATAGAGGAACGCCCAGAATTGAGTGAAAGTATTAGGGATTAGCGATTCCACAAAAATATCAATTGCCAAGTATATGAAAGTATATCAAAAATACAATTAGGCCAGTAAATACCTTAACCGATTTCTTTTCATAAACTTTGCTACCGAAATATTATTCTGTGTTCATACTACTGTACCTAAAATGCAAATGTATCTTTCTCATGGCTGATATAATTGGGAGCCCTAACCTATATCGAAAAACTGAACAATGTGAAGATTCCAAACAACAATATACAACTTGTTAGATAAGTTGTTAACTCCTATTCAACAAATGAAGTAACATCTGACAATGGACCACAGATTAAAATTTTGTGTATGGAAAAGACCATTCGATTACTGATGGACTCACCTACTCCCTAGTAAGGGAAAGTTGAAAATACGGAATGTACAACATTCCTCAAAATTAAGTGTTTGTTAGCCCTTCTCTGAAATTTAATTATTCCCTAGTTATCTGAACATTGGGGACAAGGTGGTGGAAATGGTCCAGAAGCCATGGATATAAGTAGTTATTATCGCATGCATTTTGTTTTCGTATCCAAATAAATCAATTAAGAAACAATTAAATTACGCGTGATCAGAATGCACACCTGCACCCATCAGCTTTGGCGATTCCAGCTCAGATCCCTATTTTTAGAGTCTTAAGTTTTCGGCAGTCTTGTATCTTAATTAGGCATTTACTATAAGACACGCTAGAGTATCTATATTGTAAGAGACCACCGAAATTTTTGTAAAAAGAAAAATAACAAATTTAGAGTAAATTAAGTCGTAATATTAAAACACATAGCATTATAAGGATGAATTTGTAAAAGAGTTTTCGCAATTACAAAGTGTGCATCGCATAATGGTAGATATATCAGCTTTTCTTAACTACAATACAATAAAACTCGAATAAAGTTCCAAAATATTTAGGATAGTTCATGTTTATATTGTGCAACAGGTATATTTTGATCACATAGATATTCTCAATATATGAATATGTATTAACTTTGTTTTGTATTTAACACAAGTATATTAAATTGAAATATTGATTTATTGTTATAGAAATTTTCAAATTATCTCTCATTTATACAATTTTTTTAATTTAATCAGTTCTCCCTAATATTTATATAGCAACATTTTAATACGGATCTTAGTGATTAATTGATAGATTACCTTAAAATTACCTAACCTCAATTTATATTGAACAACCAAATTCTTGTTGATAAAATATTTCCTTTACTACATAATTACAATTTAAAAAAATAATAGCAAAATTGACAATGCACAAGAATAATTTATACCGTAAACGGAAAATTTATTTCCTCAACCTTTCCGCTATGATCATGTTTGATTGTTTGAAAATTGTAGTCTAATCTAAGCCCTTAACCGTGTAATTTGTGAAAAATATTTCCACGCTCGCCTCGTATTCGTTATAATAAGAAAAGCTTTTCGTACAAATTTAAAAATCACATGAAATTGTAATAACCAATGCACATTGTGCTATATGTCGATTATAACTGTTAATAAATTAATTCCGAAATAATACCTTTGTTTGATAATCGCAATTATTTTAGTTCGACACTTATTAGGCATTAAAAGTTTAGAAGTGGACTGAAGAAATCATATTAACATATTAAAACACAATATATGAAGTGGTTCTTGTAAAATTGATCCAGATTCACTAATTTTTAATTATAAAATAAACGTATTGAACATCTTCTTTTACTAAGCTTCCAAGAAATACTGGAAGTAATAATGAGTCCAAAATTAAAATTTTGAATTCCACATAGTACGTAACAGTGGAGTCTGCATTGCACTAAACCATTATAAAATATAGTATAAGTGGTTATTATAGACAACAGGGTACCAAGTTATAAAAATTTTGAAATCCGTTCTTTCTACGAGCGTCTCGATGAAAGTGTAGGATGCGTCCTAGAATTAGAAAAACAAGTAGCTTCACTAATCCATTTCACTCTTCAGTGTAAGAAATTGACAACAAAGCAAAGTCGATTTTAGAATCTGTACGCTTTGCTGTTGTGTCGAAATCACGAAGTATATAGATTCTCGAACCGAATTTGCCGATGAAACTTCTCGTATTACATATAGTCGCCATACTCTTTTAGTTTGTAAGCCATTTAGGATAATGGGTCATCTGAAGATGTAATTAATTTCTTGATGCTGCTAAAGATTCTTATTATGAAATATCAAACATTAGTAAAGATTTGAAATCAAAAGCGAAAACTGTTGGGATTAAACATGATTTTTTTATTGTTCGAAACATAATGTTGCCAATAAAAACATAAAAGGCAAATGGAAAACTACTCGTAACAGCCGAGCAATCGAAAAACATAAAATTTGGCATGAAATGTTGTTGCTTCGTTTATAATTAAAATAAACTTAATTATTAATTATTAGTTTTAACAAAATTTAACCATATTATTATCTTCTACTAACTCTATAAAGTGCTCGGGATTAGTTTTTTGACACCAGGATTGTTTATTTCAAACATCAAAAAATATTGTAGTTCATTATTGAGCAACACATTTGGATTAAATGAGTTTAATCAATTCACATTGCGTGGGACTTTTTGATTGTTAGGTTGTCGTGGAAATTTGTAATCTTCGCTAGAGTATAGGAAAAAATAAATAAATCACTTTAACAATAAATGTTATTTTCGGAAAATCGATAAGCAAAAACTTCGTCGGCAGTCTCCAACTTATAATTAGCACTTTCTTTCGAATATTAATGTGAAGATGAAAAGACTAACAGACACGCCAGCCAGTTCCTCTTTTATATTCCTAATTGAATTCATGCAAATTTTCTCTTTATAAATTCTCTTATCGTTTAATCTTTCTCGATTGTTTCCAATTATATGATCTTCAAAGGCCTGAGTGAATTTCGTAAAAGTAGAGTTACTCTTTGGGAGCAATCCTGAAAACGTTTTCTTTTTTTTTTCATTTAAACTCGTTCTTATTCTTCTAAATCGTTTCCATTAAGTTTTGAGATAATTGTAATCCATTTCTGATTGTCATCAATGTCATCGTTTTTCTCTAATGGATTTGACAACTCATGCAATAATTAATTATTTTTTCTTTGCCACTTGTTTACTTATTTGCGAATAGTTTTCAGCAAGATTTTTTGGTTAGCCTTGCTTGGTTAGGTTGGTAGCAGTTTTTTGGTAATGCAGCAAGGTATTTTGTTTATATTTCCGAAATAGGTTTAGTTTATTAGGATACATGAACAAAAAAATACTATAAAATAAATTTTAAAAATGCGTGCTGTGTGGTAATTTCTTTTTTTGTGGACACATAAACGAAATCATTTTAACCTAAGAAAAATTTTAATCGAAAACGAGCTGTGAAGAAATAACCAGAACAAGAAAAATTGAAATAGAATGAGGTTTGTAATAAAAGTCAAACTCTTCCAAACCACGCAATGCATTTTACAAGTTTTTCGAATCACTATGCAAAAGAGATGATCTTCCATGGTAATGTAATATAACGTAATAAAAGAGACAACTTGATAGAATCGAGCTTGAAGCATGAAGCACACCGTTTTAATCTTTGAACATCCTATGGCTCCCACCTAGAACTATCTAACACCCAACTTACAGAGCTAATGTAACGGTTGGCCACGCTTGATCACATTTCTGTAAAATTTTAGCGGCAAGTACGCAACACCTAACACAAGCTAGCACATAACTTGCAGAACCTACTTAAATAAATACTTAAGTATCCAGAGCATCCGTGAATGTTTCGTGAATGTTTTTTTTGCCTGAAAATTGGCCATACTCTTGGTTTATACGTTAATGGCATCTTGTTTAGTCAAAATAATTCAGCTATTATTAGCCCAAAAGTTTATTGTGAGAAAGTTTTAAAATTAAAAATGAAAATGATTGTCGATATTTGAGAAACTGTTCAAGATCATCTGAAACGACAACTAACCTGAATTTTTTTTATGTGTATGACCAATAAAGGTCGCAGTGCATGGTGACCAGAAATGTTTAAAAGTTTTTTGCAAATTGTTACTTTTGGGTAAAAAATAATAACTCATTCGTTTCTTAAATTTTTGGTGAGTAAAATCCAGTACTAGTGCAATTACCGCTTAAGAAAACCTGTGAGTATGCTTCTATATCAGAAATGTATGTGAAGTAGAATTTTTTGTCTAAAAGTTATTTTGATCGTATATCACCCTGACGGATGTAGGGATATATGAGAACGAGAACCTACTTTACTACCTATTGAAGCAGACGGAGGAGGCAGAATATGAACGTCCTCTTTAGTAGCCATAGCAACAATTTTGAGATGTGAGTATGTGACCTGAATAATGAAAAATATGGTTTGTGTTTTTTGCAAGATGGTTGGAGCATCCAAAAGATGACTGAGAAAGATTATTGTGAATTTTATCAGACGATGTTGGAAAAACGATATATTTAAATCTTCTTAATAAAAACTCAATTCTACCTGTCTAATCATTAAACGATTCGAAGCTATATATATTGGACTCAAAATTTCCTAGTTATTAGTTTTGTTTAGTTTGTTAGTATCTAAAAGAACACAAATAAAGAAGGAAAGAAGATGAAAGGAGATTGTAAAATTTTTGTTTGTTACTTATATCACTGAAGCCTATATTAAATGTAATAAAAAAAACTAGATCACTGATCTTCAAGAATTCGTGATATTTAAAAAAAGAGGTGTAAGTACCGGTAAACGATCATTTTTGAAGTCCGTGGTGGGGAATAAGTGCTGAAAATTGTGTTCCTCATAGGTTGTCGTTTTACTAAACTGTCTTTTTAAATGATATATCTTATCAAGACAGTTGTCCTGTGTATTAAGGGGAAACTAACCAATGGCTTATACAAAATTATACCAAACGTTTCACTGAATTAAAAATTTAAAAGAAAACAAGTATGTTTTCCAGAAAGTATAATTTTTTATAAATGATGACTTTTGCTCAAATAATTATCATTTGGGTGTGTTTCTCATATTTCTAAAAATACTGCGTTTATCCAAATCCGGTCCTGTCTCGCGCTTTAGGAAGCCGCTTTTCTGATCGTTTTCTCTGCAATCTAGGTTCGATCTAAAACCATTAGCATAAACCGGATCTTAAAATTTGTCTCTCATTAAAATTAACCAACGTTATTCGGAATTTCGGAAAGGTCAGTCAATAGATTGGGTTGCGCCAAGAGTCAGTTGATCCCAATTCGTTATCATTTGAAATCCGGCAAGTAATAGGGTTTGCCAAACACATCAAAATTTTATGTTAATTTTTGATTATACCCGGTACTTGACTGGTTAACCCACGACCCTTAAATACAATATACATGCCGTGAGTATTAATGAAATGGCAAATATTATATATTATACAGATAATTAATTCACTATAAAGAATGACGTACTAAACTTTCTCGGAGGTATTGGTATTGGAATTAAAGGGGGGCGCCCTCACGGGCGTCCAAGCACTTAGATCACCAGATGGGCCCGTTGTGCCCCCAGGCCGCTCTAGAGGGCGTCCAGAATGCCGCCCCTCCTATAGAAGGTCAGCAACTCCTTTAGCCCAATACCGTGCTCTGAGTCTGATATATATATATATATATATATATATATATATATATATATATATATATATATATATATATATATATATATATATATATATATATATATATATATATATATATATATATATATATATATATATGAGTAGAAATTAATCAAAGGGAAAACGGACAGCTCTCCTAAAGCACAGCTATCAGTATCTCTAGGGCAGTGATGGTCAAGCAGTTTTCCAAGCTATTGCTTCCGTAAAGATGAGCTCTTTATTTCTAGTTGTCTATCAAGAAACATGGACAAAACAGCGGAAATTTAATTCTATGAATATCAGTGTACCTTGGCCGGAGACGTTCATTAGAATAACAGACAGTATACTGAACAGCTTACTGAATAAATAGAGGAGGAATATGTGTATTACTTTTCCTAATGCCTAACCGCACTTTTAATTTCACATTTAACATGACATCTTTTATTATTTTTAATAAACAATCAAATCAAATTCTGTGTTAAAAGTAAACTTCGAACTTCATATTGTTACCGTTTTTTTTAAGTTTCATTAATTTTACCAATTTTGGGAACCTAAATATCATCACTTATGGAAAACAATGATATAAAGAGTCAGTTAAAATTAGTTGGTATTTGTGAAAAACAGGTTGATATTACTGATGAAAATGAATCCGAATTACTCAAAAAAAAGTCCTCAAACCAAAACTAAAAGTGCGTAACGGGTTTATCCAATTCATAAATCTTCCGAGAATGCAGAAAAAATATGGCATACTGCAAAGGCGAATTTTATTATTGCCATTGAAAACTGTCTTTTACCAGTAAGAGCCAATTTTTACAAACCTTGTGTGTCAAGTTAACAATACTTTCTTCTTCTTCTTTGCTATTCACGATCAGTTGGGCAATACTACAATGGCCATTCGCCCATTACCGACTTCCGTCGAGGATTTTTTTTTTTGGTTACAGATCAATAGTTAACAAAAAGCTAATACCAACATTTATTCTCAGCTTCCAATATAAGACTTTGACCGACAACAGAAAAACGACCTCTCCAGGTTCCCCCGTGGACCATCCGGGCCCATCCGGCTTCTATACTGGCATGAACAAGAAAAAACAACGGGGCCGACAAGGATTACACCTTTAAAACACTAAATCCACTAAACAGCAACCGATTCCAAAATTTTGGGAACGATTAGAATGGATTCTGTCGGGAGCGAACGGAGGTTAAACCACCAAGTGCACGACAGAATTCCCAAGTTAAGAATACATAAATAAGCCGAGATGTTAGATAGATAATCACTCGGTTTAATTTAAAGTAGGTAATATTATAGCAGAAAAGAAAAGCTTATTGAACGACTTTTGGATTAATGAGGATCTGTGATCTTAAAAGCGGAAACATATGAATTAAATTAACTTAATTAAATGTATGTGTTACAAGTTGAATTTGCGCAAAAAATTCGTATCTAAACTTTCTAAAGTACCGGATTCGACTGTTCTGCAGTTTCTTTTCCGAAGTAAAAGTTTTTCAAAAACTCACTTTAATGGTGCTCATTCTTTAGAAATCATTGGACCCTCGACTTCTACGTGGCCTTTCTCTGTTCGGGTCATCCCAAAAAAATTGATGAAACAAAAATGGCACATAGTCATCAACTATCGCAAATTGAACGAAGTCTCTGTAGACGATATACCTATCCCCACTACTCTGGATCTAGCCTCTGGTTTCACCAAATTGAAATTCGTCCCAAGGACGTTGCTAAAACTGCATTTTCGGTGGAAAATGGTCATTTTGAATTTCTCCGTTAACCCATCGGACTAAAAAATTCTCCATCCAACGTGTCATGGACAACATTCTCCTAGGTCTTCAAAACGAACGATGTCTCGTTTACATGGACGATATTATCGTTTATTCCGCTACTATGCACGAACATATAAAAAGATTAATTGATGGCTTCAAACTCGTTCGTGCTGCAAACCTCAAACTCCGACCTGACAAGTGTGAATTTCTTCGAAAAGATGTAGACGTTAAATCTTTTCTTAGGTCAGACGGTTACTAGCGACGAGTTATCGCCAATGGACAGTCAAGTATTTCCGCCCTTATTTGTTCGGAAACAAAATTACTCTCGTTACGTAAAGGTGGTTATTTCCTATAAATGATCTTGGTAGTAGTTTAGCACGATGGCGTCTTAGGCTTGAAGATTACGACTATACCATTGTGTATAAGCACGGTAAAGTAAATAAGAACGCAGACGCTCTATCTCGTGTTATGATTAACCATATTCATCTCTTAAAGAAAATTTCTACCCTTGCATCTAAGAACGATAACATTCACAACAGATCATCCACAACTACATAAGGGATAATTCGCGATGACTATTCTAACAATTTAGATAACGAAGACGAAACAGCAGAAGTCACCGAAAAGAATACAATTTTGCATGCCTTCATAAAACCACATTATAGATTATTCTAAAACAGAAACCTGTAATTCTCAACTTAACAAAAATCACAGAGATATTGTCACTCTCTTTTTCTCTTCTGATATATGTAGTTGCAATAAACCGCAGACAACTAATTCAAAACGGCCAGTCTCTAATGCTATAAACAAGCTTATTTACGAAAGGGATATCAGCAAAAACTCAGCAATCTTCAAATATTTTTAGTTTATAGAATGCCAAATTGTGTGTAGTGTAGGTGGTGCATAGAAGGGGAGGAGACCCCGTATCATCTGCTCACCGAGTGCCCTGCCTTGACATGGGCAAGATTGGCAGTCTTCGGAACGGCCCTGATCGATCGGACTCAGAGCACGGTATTGGGCTAAAGGAGTTGCTGACCTTCTATAGGACGCCCTCTAGAGCGGCCTGGGGGCACAACGGGCCCATCTGGTGGCCTAAGTGCTTGAACGCCCGCGAGGGCGCCCCCCTTTAATACCAATACCAATACCAATGCCAAATTGTAATAATAAGAAACGTAATGTTCTGTAATGGTTTGTTGAACCTATAATTATTTTTTGCTTATTTTTGAACGTTTCCAATTCTAGCATCATATTTCGCGTATTGAGGATTCCCCACCGAAGAATATTCAAGAACCGACCTCACAATAAAGTTATATAATTCAAATATGGGGTGGTTGAGCAATACATCATTTTGAAGCTTTCATAAGTAGCTCTTTAATGGTCTAATTGAATATCTGGGAAAACTTCAGATTTTTTTGTGATTGCGAAATAAATATATCGAACTTTTGGAGGTAGTTTTACACCTTTTGAAGCTCCCCCAAGTGACCCTTCAATGGTCTAATTCAATATCTGGCAAAACGTCAGATTTTTTTGAGAATTCCGAAATAAATAAAACGAATTTTATTCCCGACCTTTTCGAAGTGGCTCTTTAATGGTCTAATTAAATATCTGGGACAACGTCAGTTTTTTTTGAGAAATAAATCAAACCGATTGTCGAGTATCATATTTTTGGGGATAGTTTAATATCTTCCCGACCGTTTTGAGGTGTTTGAGCAATACATCATTTTGAAGCTCTCCTAAGTGGCTCATCTTCAATGGTCTAATTCAATATCTGGGTCGTCAGATTTTTTTGAGATTGCGAAATAAATATTTGTTTGTTTGTTAATTTTTAGATATTTCAAAATTGGGGGTAGTTTTATGTCTTCCAGACCGTTTCGAGGTGATTGAGCAATACATCGTTTTGAAGCTATCCTAAGTGTCTCTTTAATGGCCTAATTGAATATCTGAATAAAAAAATTAATTGCATAAACGTATAAAATTACCAGTGAGGTAAGATTTTATCCAACAATAACTAATTCCACGCATCAAAAAAGAGAGACAACTATTTCCTTCGAAACGAGATAAAACAAATTTATATAATCGCCTTTCTCAAAAATCAAATTGGTAATCACTTTAAAAAATTTCTTTATTCAAAAATCTTTTTTAAAGCATTTTTCTAAGATTTTTTAGAAAACCGACAATAGACATATAGCTACCACGGTAATTAGACATCATATGCCCGTCTTGCAATTTATGAATTGGAACTGTAATTGTCTTTTTTAATGCATTGGGGAATCTAGCCTCTTTAACAGATAAGTTAACCAGAAGAGTCATGGTTACTACCAGACTGTCAACCACAAACTTGAATAGAGAGCACGGATCCCATCCGCCAGCTGAATGGTTTTACTAAAAGACAAAATAATCTCGAATATTTCATGCTCTTCTTAAAAGCTTTAAAAAAGTGAGTTTTTTATTATTTTATTTTTGGATATATTTTTTTTTGTTTTTACTGGTGATTTATTTTTATTTATTATTTAGATAACAGATTATATAAAAAAATATTAAAGTACACAACAGCTTCCTGATGATTAACGAACCGGTTCCCGTTCTCATCTAGTTCTTTTTGTTGCATTGTGAAGTGTAATAATTGTTTTTTTATGTTTTTCCATGTTGTTTGTGAAACATTATTTGATCTGGAGAACAAATTAGCGTAATAAGTTTGTTTAGAATTTTTAATGTTAGGCTCGTGAAGTTATATATATCTATATTTAAAGTGATCTCGAAGATATTAACCTTCCTCTATAAGTTCCCTCGACAGCTTGCAATCTATTGGCTTTTTAGTAAAACATTTCTCCAGGGGAAATAAGGTGCACCAGCGTCTTTAAAAACAGCTAAGAACTTATGAAATTGCAAATCCAAAGGACATCCCATCTGGAATACTCAGTCCTAATCAACCTTGGAAACGCATTTACAGAAATCATTAATAATACTTTTCCGAGTAAAAAACACCGAGACAAACTGCCAAAAATTGTCAAACATGTCTATAAAAAAAATTACACAGGCACCATTTACATTTAATTGGTGTTGCAAAATCTAGGACACAGACTATGTTTCTTAAAAACTATCAGTATCTGTGCACGGCAGTAGAATTAGGCTAATCGAGATTTTTCACGTATTAGTAATAAATCCACTTGGAATTAAAAAAAATCAAAATATATTTTTCAAAATAAATCATTTCTTTTGTTAACTTTATTGATGAACACAGCTTGAATCCAAGCAGTCTAAGCAAAAACAACGGCGCCCTCGGAAGTTTGCTCAATCCAATCCTTAAAGTACCAGATGTTTAAAAACAGTGATTGGTAATCGTATTCCATCTCGAAGCCCGCCATTTCATAGGCGATGCCGTAGAGAACGCCATCGATGGTTAGCGGACCCCCTTGATCCCCGGTATTGGCTCCTTTGTTGGCGGTTGCTTCATAACCGCAGATGAACAAGTCGTTATCTAGTTTATTTACTCCAAAGTATTCTTCGCACTTCTTTATCGCTACAATGGGCAATTCGGCGACCTGAATTTGTTAAAAACATAGTATTATAAATACATTTTGTTTAAACGACGGCTCCTAACAATCGTATTTCATTAATGTACCACCGAGAACTGCATATATATAACACATACACTTTTTTCTTTATTTTAAGTCGAGAACACCCCTGCGTCAGAGCAGTGTATTAATCAGTTATAGACCGTAAAATATATCGGAATTACACAATTAGGCAACACACTAAAAAATACCTTTAAATATTGATTAAAACAACTGCAGTGTAACACAAAATGTGAACCTCCCGCTCCAACATTTGAAATCTTAAATGAAAACCCATATTATTTTAAGGATTCTGATTCTACGCTAGAAAGACGTACGTTTTGAATGCACCTGTATGTAAATTTAGATATTCAAATGAGGTCGAAAAAACACTGAAATTATTTCAGCTTCTATGTCGAAGCCTTTTAATTTTTTCAAATGTTTCATTGTCAATTGTTAATTTATACACAAAATACACAAATAAAAAGATAAAACGTTGACATACAAACTGCAAAGAGTTCACTAATTTATTGAAAGAGGCCTTCATTTAAAATTCCAATTTCTCGCCCGTGGGCCTTAAATTTAACAACTGCGGCTGTCCTTTTCAAATTAATAAAGTATATATACCTTTAACCACTTTTACCATTTTTCCGTATTACGTATTCCATGCGATAAATCATATTTTTTGGGTATCCGAAAAAAAGCTGTATTCCAAAATCTGAATATGTAATCTAAGAAATGACGTTTCCGTTTAAGATTTCAAAGTTGCCCTCTCCCAACTACCAGCAGCACTATTTAAATCTAATATTACTATAATAACCTAATATTACATTTAAAATGGATTTTATGATTTTCGAGATATTCTTCCATACTTTTTGGAAAAAATTATTAATCAAATATAATTTGCAACCGACGTAACAGGTAATACTATAAATCAAAATAAGAAGGCAGTGAGATAGATGCTTAAAAATTGAGAGAAGACATGGATAACATTAGAATTGCCTTGCATTCTGTAAAATGTTCGTTACATTACTTTTTTCTGGTAAAAAAACAAAAGAGTGTTACTTTTGCGGATATAGATAACTAAAACCAGCGAATTTAAGTGGATTACTCTGCAAAAACAATTACCAAATGTTAAATGATTTTTGTTTTATTCTGTGACTGTCAGAAACGCCAAATAATGGGAAAATTAGCTATAGAAGACAATGTCTCACCACATACCTGAATCACTCCCGGCAGTTCATTGGAACGAGTATAACCAAATCCAGATATGATAGCGGAAGATCCGACCAAATCTGAATTTTTAAATGTATTCGTTGGTAACTTCGGAAGGCCGACGTACTCGTTCAGAACGGCAGGGGTTGACAACTTTACCAAAGCGAGAGTGTGGCTAAGGGACACGTCATCGTCATGAATGTACCACTGATCTGCTTTGATTAGTTGGCGACTCGGTTCCGGTAGTTCCGAGCTAAAGTTCTTCACGCCGAGAAAGACATCGACTTCTCGAGTAGTTTCTCCTCTATAAGAAATGTGTAATCGCGATTAACCCTGTCCGTTGGCTTTTTTGAAGTTAAATATTGGTTGGCAAACGCCAATAGTGCGTCATGCTTTTTCTAGCTTAAATGAGCATTTTGATTATGATAATAGTTTATTATAAGTATATAACAAATTTGATTAACGCCACTTTAGTCACGAGCTACGCTATATACTATAGTTGTACTATACTTTTTCTACGACTTTTACTTTTTGGGTACATTTTTACAAAACAGCACGAAGACTGAGTAACATGTGACATGACCGTTAGAACTGACAAACACCATTAATAGCAAAAATCACTGAAGACATCTAAACCTCAAAAAGCTGTTCTTCAAATATTCCGAAGTGACTCATGGCTATAGAAGCTGACGCTTAAGGTGACACTTTGATCAGTAGTGACACCTGTATACCCAAGTCTAAAAGGTTTTTGAATTTGAATTTAATTAGTAGAGACTGAACAGAGAGAACTGACCCTTATTTTGGTAAAAGTTCTGTATACCTGTTCCGACTTATTATAAGAGATTTTTCAAAAATTCTTTTATGGAGATGGACCAGTAAAAGTTTTAAGAATTTCGCGTTTTATTGGATTTATTGCGCAAAACAAAAAATGAGTACAATCGTAGCTCTATGCATTGCTATTGTTATGAATTTAGTTATATAGTACATTTGCACATACATTGCACAGAGTGTTTATCTGATCGGTCCAATTTAAAAATATTCTCTAAGAATTTATTTGTAATCAATTTCATTAACACAACATACTGTTATTGACAATAGATATGTATATGACTTAGAACGTTAATGTTTTCTATTAAAATTGTCATTATTTCATTATTATATTAAATTATTAAAAAAACAGGGAAAACATCTTGACCACAAAAATTTGAATTTTGTTTTGTTTAACACTAATGTAAATATATTCCCTGTTTGGTTCGGAAACTGTTTGCCTATTGAATATTTTTGTAAACTATACCGCACTCAAGATAAATCCAAAAATGCAATTTTACTGTTACAAAAACAATTTGAAAAAGATAAATCGAATACTACCTCCCCGTAGGTATTGACAAACGCTGAACAGCCTCAGTTTTGGTTAGTCAAAGTCTAAGTCTAAGAAGGCGTTTAAAAAAAGCAAAAAAAGTTCAAAAACTTTGAGACCCTCTCCTCGCGATAAAACGTTAAAATTCTGCTACGGAAAACTGGTGCAAATTTTTCTCCCAAAACTTTAAACACGTGGGGCCAATTGCACAAACATTGATTTACAGTTAAAATTTAATTTCAATTAACTTTGTTATTTTGTAAATTGTAATTAGTTAGTTAATTTTGACTTTGGCGACAGGCCCTTAGAATCTTCCAAACTGAAACAACGATTTCCACAGATACTTACTATGTATCTAAAATAATAAAAGCGGACGTTATAACGTAACTTGGGGAAATCAGCACTCCTCCACCCCATTGGTTAATTTCGTCGTATCTGGAGAAAACTATAGCCTGGTAAGGGATCGAAAATGGAGGGGCATCATGGCCACCGATGATTCTTGGAGACGGTGCGGGCCTCTATTGACAAAAAAATTCACTAATAAGTAAATATATGGTGATAAAGAATTAAGCAATTCAGCTGTCGATTGATTTCTCAGATTTATTCTTTTGTTTTAGTATTAAAAGTACAGTTATTTATTAGACACCGTACGAATTTTACAAGTAAATAATTAGGAGAAGATGTCCTAAAGCAGCATAAAAGAATCAAATATAAATTAAAATTTTAAAACACTTTCTTCTAGAAAAATCACTTACTGAAGGCAACGACGTTGGAAGACTGCAAACTGCAAAGAAAAACAATGCAAAATGTACAAACATAGTTATCGAAAATCGGTTATAATTAACAAATATCTCGAACTTATATCTAGTTTTATGCCAAGTTCTTATCGTACCGTAGATATTGCCGACGATAAAACGAATTTTGTATCGGGGAAGGGAAGTAGATCAAATAAAAATTCGCACACATTGAAAAATTCTGCTGCGAGAAGATACAATTGATTGATTTCGCTAAGGGTGGATACTTTTCCAGAAAAATGTATTTCATGTCTGAAGTTTTTAAATTTTCTTTTTTGTAAATATCAGGGCCAAGGGAGGTCTATAGGATATTATAATTATGAGAGAGTGCTAAACAGAATTCACGAAAATCCTCAAATAGTATTAAGACTCCTGAGGGTAACATATCTAGATTTTTGTATAAATTACTATGACAAGAAAAAGTTTCTCCCTTACTTCACAGTTTTATGACGTATACAAATGAATTATTACCATTATCTGAAAGTACAGAATTCAAGACCCAAATCGTATAGAATGTTGGCAGTGGATTCTCACCAATCAAGATATTTTGAACAAAATTTTTATGGTCTAGAGATATGGCTTTTAACACTCACAACTTGCAACGTAACGGTTGTTCGAAGAACCAACTTTCAACATATACGTTAATAAACCCTTGTATTTAAATTTCCTTACAAATGATCAATTGATTGAGAATATTCCCATACGTATTCGTTTAGACATATTCTTTCAATATTTTTGAATATCTTTAACCTTTTCCTGATATTCATTTATGTTCATAATCACCTTAGCATTCACTTTGTCTTCTTTTAAGTGTACGATGTCGGGATTAGATTTTAGAGATTTTAGAGCAATGCGTTGAGGCTTTGGAATATTAGAATTAGGAGGTTTTGATTTTTAAAGGATTTTTGCGGTTTCAAATCGAATTTCATTATCTGTTTCAGATGGCAGTTTGTTTAGGATAGATTCGACATTTGAAATGATTTCCTATTTGGGGATAATACAAATTTTTGAATGTGATTTTCGGTATAAGATAAACGAAGATTCAAAAGCTTTATCGTGATTGATTGATTGATTGAGTATTGATAGAGTATCGAACTCGGATGGGGACAAGATGGGAGCAATTTCAAGATGTAGAAACAGAGGGGCCTTACTGATATGGTCTATTTCCTTACGGGTATGATGAATTCTTTCTTTTTACCTTTTTTGTATCTGGTAGGCAAATCATTAGTTTGGACCAACCCTGTATAATGTAGAACTAATTTCAATATTAATGAATTCTGTTTAATTCCTCCCTAAGTTTTGTCAAAAATTTTAATTTTCTACCAGTTCCAATGTCGTAATAAAAATTTAAATGAAGCTAAGTTTTGATCGGAAAAATGAAGAAAATTATTATTTTCTCGAAAACCGCGGAAGATAGGCATAGGAGCGTATTATTCGAAAACAATCATAAAGTATTAGCGGATCGCAAAATGCAATAATATATTTGGGGTCCCATTTAAAATTTTAATGTTGGTGCTACTATCTCCAAGAAGCGATGTATTGTTCGCCGTATACATCTAAGGTACCATCAACCTTGAAGCGGTGTCAGCGAAATGTTTAATTTCATCTTACAGTAATTGATATGTTTCGCGGTATCTGATCCACATATATAAGTATTTTGTGTATTGACGGAGTAAGCATATCTAGTTCGAGAATACCTTTGTCGCCAAGATTGTATATAGTGATTAGCTGCTGCAGTACAGATATACATATAAATTTTATTGTGTACCTGTTATTCGAAAAAAAAGAATTTAATGAATTTTCTGACAACTAGTTAACATAATATTTAAATCAATTTCGTCATGTTGTGAACCCGTCACACAGTGGGCCAGGGTGACCCAATAGTTTGAAAAATTCTTTAAAGGCTGTTTTTCGTCGGAAATCATGTGATACAGTAAGTAAAGACCAAACTAATGAGAAAATACTAAATTTGTAAAATTATAGCACCTGCGATATGAGAATTTCTATGAAGTTCGTGAAAAGATGAGATACCTTTAATGCCTCATTGTGTTTATGAGAATAGAAGATGCATTATCTAAAATTCATTCTGTGGATGAGTAAATAATGTAGAAAAATATCAACTTCTATTCTTTATTCTTAGATAATAGCAAATCTGTAGTTTTTTAGGAACCGATTTGAAAAAAAAAACAAAATATTTCGAAATAAAAAAACCAACCAGTATCAATAATAATAATAATAACAATAATATAACAAGTTTAATTTTAAATCAACGCTTAATCAGAGTTCGTGTGATTCCCTCAGAATTTTAATATTTTGTTTGAAAGGCTCTAGCAAATTTTATTTAACGCTTTGATTTTGCGTAAATTTGCGATTTTTGGATCAGACGAGAGTAACAAATTATGAAATACATCCAAATTTCTTGCAAGCCTGCTGCATTTTCTCGCATTATGTTCCCTCTATCTTCGGTACTCTTTATTGGGGGCCTCTTGGGCCTTTTCGAAAAGTTGTCCGATTGGCACTGGACTGGACTTCACGATCTCTTTTCCGTGTTTTAATATTTTATGGATAATTACTGGCATTTTGTACCAAGAATACAGGTAAACAAATAATCCAGCAGTTTCTGTCAAACAGATTTTAAAATCATTATGTCTAATACTAGATAGAACTTGTAAAATAACGTAAAAACTGTAAACGAGTTTTTCATCTAATTTGGTAATTTCGCCGCAAGCTGTATAATTTTTTAAAAATGAGCCTGAGCCTTGTTTTGTCTGTTCTACAATAGTCCCCAAAGGACATCGAAATTCATTCTGAATTCTTGTTTTTTCTTCTTTAACAAGTAACTTGTCCGTTCAATGTGCTTGCCATTTTCCCAATTGTAATCGATAACTAATTTTTAGAAAACATTCTAAGCACCTAATCCACGCATAAAGGGAGGAAATGCCATATACCATGAATTCCTCATTTATCGGCCTCATCAAAATATTTTCTGTTTGGTTCATAATTGGATTTTAAAATTTCGCTTGAAGGACATAGTAATTTTTAACAGATATTTTTTCATGCTAGAAATTTGGGTGTTATTGAGAAATCGTAGCTGATGGACTTGAACGATTAGCCTGTTAATTGCAGGACAAACATAAAAAGTTTGTGTCTGATCTTCCACAGGTGAAACTGCCTGTATGTACTGCCACATAATCCTGACAAAATTATATCTTTAATTTTTAACGCTGCAGTTTTATCTATATGTTGTGCATTTCATCTGCCCGATTTATATGCGGGTTCGTCAAAACCGTGGTCTCTCGTCTTGTTGAAAATTTTAATGCCAGATTTAACATATGTTTCATGGAAAGTAACATTAGGAAAAGATGTGCATGGCTGCAAATTATGTTAACAACATTAGGATTCAGCTGGTTTGCAAAAAAAGATCAAAGTGGGTGAAAAAAAGGATAAAATAAAATCGTATCCTCTTTTAAAAGAATGGTTAGAAAATAATCCAGTTGATTTTGGAAACTATCTGATAATAATATAATAATAATCTAATATAATATGATAATAAATAATAACATATTAAAGTCAGATGATATTTACGAACGAATGGAATAGTTCGTAAATATCACCTGATTGCTTTGCGAAAATGTCCTCGCAAATATTGATTGAAATTTTCTTTATCATAAAGTTTTAAGTCCTTCACTTAAAACTTTCGTTGCTAACAGAATCGCGGGAATGTACCTCTACATGTACAAAACAAAATCCTGCTGACATTTTGTCTCGCGATTTACCGCCAACTGATCTACTTAATTCTTCGTTGTGGTGGCACGGGCCCTATTGGCTATCTCAAACCGAAGATCAATGGCCTACCTCCAAAATCATCTCGGAACAGTTAGCCGAATTAAAAAAGCACACATAAATCCAGTAAAATGCGCATGTGCATATTTGTTTCGTTTTATTCATAATTGCAAATATCCGCGTAATAAAACAAGAGGTTGTAAAATAACGAGATGCTACCTATCGCTATTTCTGACTGAGTACGAATAATTTTATATCAGACCATTAAAGAGCAACTTAGGAGAGCCTCAAAATGACTCAACCACCTTAAAACCGTCGGGAAGATATAAAACTGCCACCAATAAAGAGGTACCTAAAATTCGTTTTATTTATTTCGCAATCTCAAAAAAATCTGACGTCATCGCAGATATTCAATTAGACTATTGAAAAGCCACTTGGGAGAGCTTATATTACTCAACCAACTCGAAACGGTCGGGAAGATATAAAACTACCCCCAATAATGAAATACCCAAAAGTTCGATATATTTTGTCGTAATCTCAAAAAAATCTGACGTTGTCCCAGATATTCAGTTAGATCATTAAAGAGCCACTTGAGAGAACTTCAAAATGATATATTACTCAACCACCTTGAAATCGTCGTTAATATATAAAACTATCCCCAATTATGAGATGCCCTAAAATACACCCTGTATATTTTATCATTTTTTATTGTTATAGTTAATTTCAAGTTAATTTTCAAAAGGTGTATATCCTTCTCTCTTTTTGTTTTTGAATTGTTTGAAAAAAAATTACAACCAGCATGATAACTATTTCTCCTAATCCGGAAACTATTCAATCTTTTTTTCTTTAAATGTTACACCCTGGGAATATTTTATAATGGAATATAATATGCAACTGTTATTAATCCCGTACATTCAAATTTGTGCGCAAATTTCGTTCCCGCAAGCTTTTAATGAACTGCTAAATAAATATAAAAATGAAAAGTACAAGTAAAATTAAGCAAGTCTCCTGAATATCGCGAGCCTCCATGATCGATGGATGTGTCTTTGCGGGTAAATTTCGAGTCAAAAACCAAATCTTTACTTTGATAATAGCAAATTTTGGGGGTAGTTTTATATCTTCCGGACCGTTTCGATGCGGTTGAGTAATACATCATTAGGTAACACGTCAATCACTTTAAAAGGTCCTCTGTATTTGGTGAGTAGCTTTTTGCTTTCATTATGGTTTGCTGGAAAACTAGTCAAAAAACTTAATCAAAACTAAGTCCTTTAAAACAAATTGAACTGGTGATCCTCTTTTTTTTTGTTAAATCGCTCATTTTGTTTGATTATATTGTCTTCAAGCTTTTTAGCTGCCTCCCTTCTTAATGAAGAAACGTCTATGGTGTTCCCTTCATCATCACTGACATATTTGTCACCCTCTGCTCTTAATTTGTAGCCGAAAAACAATTCACTAGATGTTGTTTGCATTATACGATGTTTCGTACTGTTAATGCCTTGTTGTATGGTCTTAAGATTTGCGTCTCACACGTCGCTATCTCACGCTATCTCGCTATCTAACGAGTCTAGCACTGTCTTGTTTGCTCTTTCGACCTGTCTGTTTCTTCTCGCCCTGCCAACTGCCGTGTGAATACCCTTATTCCTCTTTCTTTTTTTTTAAATTTGTTGCAGTGTAGTTATTACATGTTTACTTGACGAATTTTGTAAAAGCATCTATTATTACCAATAAATATTTATTTCCACATTTTGATCAGATGATCCGTATGGGGTGTGTGATAAGGTCGTGCATATTTGTTTATTGAGTGAAGCTATCCTGCCGGATGTTTGTGGTATAAACAGTGAATGCACGCTGCGATATATAACTGAATACTCCGAGAAACATCACTTTTCTAACAATATCCACCAAATATATTTGAGTTTGATGGAAAACTTAACCTGTAAAAATTTATTAGGTTAATGTCTTCTGTAATTTTTTTTGTTCGTTTTGAAGATAACTTAATTATGCACTCAATTAAGCACTATTTTATTTGTCTGAGGATTTAACATTTTAAACTCTTTTCGATTTACGTTTTGCCACAGATATCATTTTGAAGTTTGTTGGCGTCAACCATTAGGTGTTTAAACTACCTAAAAATGTCGCAAACATTATTTTAAATTACAAACATTTTCAAGTGTTTGATAGTCACTAAAAATTAAATGTGGGTCCCTTGCTCGATGTAAATATGTTCTATATGTAGCCTTAACGGAAATTCCACCACGAAATTTTGTCTAAACCGGATAAAACCATAATTTTATTGCACTACTGTTGACTTCGAAAGCATTTTCTCATCTGCCTTTAGAAAACCATGAACGGAGAGTGCAACATTAAAATATCAAACAACATTTGTACATTTGGGATACGCCGCCCACTCAGCAGCATCGAGGTTCCAACCTTTCTTTTTACGTAACACGGTAACCACCTCGCAAGTCAAACGTTATAACATCTTCTCGGATTCCTATCTAATTTATTCATTAGACCATAAAACTTGTCAATCGGATCCCACCCCGCGTTCCGTTAAAATTTCTGTCCCAAGCAATTTTATTCACAACCGGAGAAAGTGAAATTTGAACATAAAAATTCAAATTAACGTTTTTTTCGTATAAAAACCGTTCGAGGAATCTGAAGGCCAACATTTATCTGTCCTGTATTTAACCAATACCATCATGAATGCACTCGTGGTAAGTGAAAACGCTGTTCCAATTTTCGATTCAATTTCCTCACAGCAATTTACTCCAGGTCGCATCCGCGGTACTAGCTTTTGCTGCACCAGCAAACTGTGGAGTACTAGGCGGCGGAGCCCTAGTGGATTCCGGCCCCATTCTCGCCCAAGGTCATATCGAAGCTGGACCCTCCTTAGAACACGGCCATGGTCAGTTAGTCGCCTCCGGTCCGATCTATGGACAAAGCGCTTCGTTTTCTGATAGCGGATTTGGACATGGACACCTTGTCGACTCTGGTCCTATTTACGGACAAGGTGATCTTGGCGGCTTTGGGGGGGGACATGGACCGTTGGTAGATTCGGGACCAATATACGGCGCTGGTCACCATGATTATGGACAGGCGATCGAATCTGGACCTATTATAAGCCATGGCGACGGCTTCGGTCATGGACATGGTCAACTGGTCGAGTCGGGACCTATTTTCGGAGATTCCTTTGGACATGGACAGGGACACTTGGTGGAGTCGGGTCCTATTTTCGGTGCCGGACACGGTCACGGTCATTTTGAACACGTACCGATAGTTCACGACCACATCAAAATTTTAAAAGTAGCTAAGCACATTCCAATTCCGGTACCGGTGGTGGTGAAGAAGGTCGTCCCCGTCCATCATCATCATCAAAAGAAGGTGATCGTTCACGACGTCCCGGTCATCCACCACCACGCTCCCATCGTCAAAGTGTTCAAAGTCAGGAAAATTGTCCACGATGACTGGTGGTAAACCGAAGTTATCGCCATCTATTGTTATTTATTTTTTTAAGTGTTGATTGTTGTAAATTCAAATAAATTTAATCCTTTAAGGCTTTTCTTTCAATAATAAATTCGTTTATTTCGCGTATCGATATAAAATAGACACAGTAAAATTGTTTATATCAGAATTAGCTTTTAAAATGCTCAAAACCAGAGCGCTTTAGTTTGAGAAACGCGACTTCAGTGCCGAGTTTGATTTAGCACGAGCGGAGCTCAGCGAAGCGAGTATTCAATAAACGAGTGACTAAGAAAGTTTATCAACGTTTGACATACTGTACTTTTTTACGACAATTAGTGTCTGGGTACTTGTTGCAAAACATTCACGGTCGCTAAAATCCACTGAAAACAGCTGTGACTAAAATACCGAAATCTTTCGAAGTGGCTCGCTACAGTAGTTCGCGAAACTGATATCTTAAAGTAACACTTTGTGCAAGGTTGATCAGTGCATAATTGTGTATTTTAGATGAGGGGCCCTTACTTCATAACCGTTACATTAAAAACTTGAAGAAAAAAGATGACGTCTCTCGTACCAAACCTGAGACAAGTCGTAAATCCTATTCTGGATCACTTAAGAAAAAAAAATGAAGGTGGTTTATGTTCGTCACAGTTTGCATTTGGTTTCTTTGGTGCATCGAGGACTGAACTCTAATAATTTCTATTAGATCTTGCTCTCGACAGTTTTCTATTCCTTTTTTGTGGTTTTGTCTTTAAACCGGGCGTTTTAAATTTAATTCTTACCTCGAATTATTCCATTAAAAAAATTGAAGTCATCTTCCTATACTTCCGGGTAATATGGTGAAACAACTGAAGTGTCCCCCTTTCGATTTTATTTTTTTACGCGCTCATTTTAAAATTTATAAAAAAACGGCAATTTTTTCCTATGAACGCCATATTACATTCTTTCAGTTTTGTGAAGCACCATTATAAATTAAACAATATTCAATGTAAATATAAATAGATTGGTTGATAACTTCTTGATGTCGATAAGATAATAAATAATAAGATATGCAAAAATGAATTAAAAAATGTTACATGATAATGACAAAATTGTTAACAAAACAAAAAATTATGAGATGCTGAAAATTTCCCTAAACAAAAGTTCGTTCTCAGTATATTACGCATATTACGTATTTCCCTATTGTTTATTTTTGGTCCTACTTTTGTCTTGAAATATATACCAATTAAAAGTGTAGAAAACATGGTATAAAAACATTTTCTTGAATATTTCGAATTTTTCGAACTGCAATTGTAACTTTTCGTTACGCACTCTAGCTCTAATATGCGGTACTCTATAGCTCTAATTGTTTCCGAGATCCCAATACTTAGGGATATTCCGATACTAGTAAATACGAGTAGGTAATATTGCGATACTTACTCGGTATCGAAACAAAAGTACTTGGTATCAAATCGAATCATCCTCACCAATAAAAAGAAACCGAACGCATCAGACAAACATAATTTCTATCTGATCTATGGTGACGCGTTGTCTCGCGCCAGCCAAGCCGAACTCGTCCGACTTCACTCGACCGAGCCCGAGCCAAACGCGAGAAAGACGTCCGCCCTTCATTTTTTTTCATTGTCAACCAACAAAAATTATATTTATTGTAATCATCGGCTTATTATTCCAATGTTATCATGGAGTTTTTTGTTTAAAGTACGTGTTTAACGTGAGGCAAACCATCATTCTTTTCCTTCTTAATTTTGTTTTAATTATTCTAGTTCAAAGTTCATTGTTAGTTTCCTTAAAATAAATAAAAAAATAATAAAGTGCTAAAAGTATCGATATGAGTAAGTATCGATACTTTAGGAGTATTTATTTCAGTAGTATCGAAAAAAGATTTGAGTACTATCGAAATGAGTAGGTATCGATACTTTAATGGTATCGGAACATCCCTACCAATACCAAAGAGTAAGAGTTAGAGTACTTAGATTGGGGCGATCCTTGCGGTTCTATTGCTAGCCGTTTTAGGTAAACTTTACAAAGCTATGAAGATTCAAACAGAGTCACAAGTTACAAGTCACTATAAGAAAATTGTAAAAGAATAATCTGAATAATCTGAAACTCGTATGGGTGATTTGTTGGATATAACTCAGTGTTTTAATAACGAGTTTCCTTCAACTACCAACCAACGTATCAATAAGTGAACAAAAACTATCACATCGGGCATCGAGATCCTATGTCGATGCGATTAAACTTGAAATCGAATTCACCTACGACTAGATTTTGGTCGGAATTTACATTAATTCCTGGATCATTTTTAATTAGCTTAATTGCATTCCGCAACCTTTACGGCTGGCTGAAATATTCAATTACGTCCACAACCAGATTATCTACTATGTCAGCAGGTGTGCTGTTAATGATTTCGTTTCTTACAGAACGGATTGTAGTGGTGAATTCACTCACTGCTGTTGTCATCCCACTCTTTTTGTTCTCGTTCTCTTTGTACTAATTGTAAAAGTTTAATGCATATTTTAAATGCTCTGTTACACCGACTTAAAAATAAATGACATCCTATATATCTACATAGTTTGAGCATAAAATTTTCCTGTTTTGTTTATTGTTACAGTTACTCGTGAGTTAATTGCTTGCGCACAAAACAGGTACACCATCTTATGTTCGAACGTTTTGGAAGATGATAATGTTTGATGGATTTATTCTATGATTCTAATAATATGTCAAAAGCACATAAACATGGGTCCAAACAATGCTTCTATTTCTTAATACGGGGTGTTCATACTTTTCTGTCTTTTGCAGTTTATTTGAAACTTTCCGAACACGCGCAGAGTTATTGAAATCAGCTTTACTACAACCCAATTTCCATTAAAGGTCAAGTTTACATGTACAAAATTGTTCTTTAAAACACTTATTTTTGCCTGAGTGGCGTTCGTGGTCACTAATTAATATGTTCATAGAAAAAATTGTCAGCCACTAGTGTTTGCAAAAATTGTGTGGCTAAGACCGACCTTTCGTTTTTCATTACAATAATAAAACTTTCTCCGAAAATCCAAATATTATTCATCAATCTCGCTACTGACAGCATAGTTCAAAATTGCTTGGTTTATATGAACTGCTTTCTTAAAATTAGGCAACAAAAATAATACCAAGAAAATTATTTCGAGAACGGAGTTGTTGTACTAATTAAAAAAATTAACTTCTTCTAAAACGGTGCGTGAAAGCAACTACACCGTGAATTCAAAATTCCAAACAATACCAGTGATTTCTAATAACGAGTCAGGCATATCATCAGGCACAATTTGTAGAGTACTCCAGATTTTGTTTTAAAACATTTAGTTCTTTAAAAATTGATGGAACCTTTATGATAACGATATGTGCTGTGGATGTGGATATGAGTTTTTTAATTTCTGTCTCATATTAGCTATTTCAAACACACACATGTTTGAAACAGATCCTCGTATTTCGATAAACATACTTTTTTAACGACAGAACTCGGAAAGTCTATGACGAATTTTCACCGAAATTCACAGATACTAACTGCATTTCGAGGAAGTGAAAAAAGCAAACCACATTTCAACAATCTTCAAAAAGCGCTCGCTCAGGTCCGGTGAGTGAGTGAAACCGCAAATAGTCGCTTTAATTCTATCACATCTCATTTAAATACGGAGAGATTTTGCATGAATTAAAATCGATAATAAAATAAATTTCTAATCTATTAATGCAACAATTCAGGGGCAACGTTATAAAAATTTAATCGAATATTGAAAGTATTTTGTGATCAAACCTTGATTTTATCTGGTTTCACACTGCGACATATTTGCAACAACAGCGAAAAAGTTATTTATTGGCAGTAGCAAAAACTGAATGTACTTGAGCGCTAGCTAAGCATTGGCAAAAATTACTTTGCTAAGTTTTCTTCTCTTCAGTAGCAAAGGCACTTGTAATAATAAGAAGTGCTTGCTAATCTACCAATTCAGATATTTTATTTGAGACTGCAAAGATTTATAAATGCAACTAAATGGATTTTGTTATAGTTGAATTTCTTTTATTTTTTAGCAAAGTTACAGCGATAAATAAAATTTGTTAAAATCTAATAATACTATTTAATTTGAATATTTTTTTTTTGCTATTTGAAGCAGTTTTCGTTAGTAGGTAACAGTACCCATTCTAGGAAAGATATAAAAACAGGCTGACATGTTGAAAATCTACAGTTGCCTATAATTTTAAAGCAGGTAAAAATGTTGAGACGTTTTTACAAAATTATTTTTTTCCAAACAAAACAGCACTATCTATAAAGGAAATTCATTTCATTCGCAACAAGTTACATATATGCAATATATTACAATAACTAAATAATTCTATTTTTTTTTGTATATGATAATAAAAATTAAGGCTCATATCTCAGGTAACTATAAAAATAAAGCCCTTCTAATATTTACTTGTTCTCTAGATATATTAAAGGTTATGTGTAATAAACTAGAAACATAATGGAAAATTTCTACTAATTATAATTAAATTCCTATAAAAAAATTACTTACGCATAAAAAAATTGCACATCAATGATTTATACAAATGCTACAAATATCAATTTTAGCACCCATTTTATAAAGCCATTTGGAATTTCTATGTACTCTAAATTGTCTGAACGGGGCTCTACCCTACATACATATAACATGGTGCTACATATACGTAGCGAAAAATGTCCTAGCATAAGCAAATAGAGTACTCCCTTCTCGTATATGTGCTTTAAGAATTCACATACCTATTGTGTAAAATAGGTACTATATCCGGGCAGGTTCATCACAATTTATAAAAATGCAGCATTGAAAAATATTCTCAATTATACACGGTATTTCATAAAAGCGTAGGCGTTTTCTTAAATTAGAAGTGGACCACAGAAGAATTCAAAACTAAGAATCGAAATTTTTATCTATGGTCGCAGGTTATTATAACATTATAACATGTTTTGTTATGTTACAAATTTTGTAAATTATCTCTCTGGAAAAGAACGTTGGTGATTTATTTCCTTTGTACGAGTGCTTGCTGATGCCGTTTAATGCTATAATTTTGACTTTTAAAAAGCAAAATTCTATTACAGAAAATATAGCTAATACTAAATCTGTGAAATGAGTACCGCGGTGGATTTTGTGGTGGAGCGTTGCATATGACGGTTTAACATCCTCTCGTTCCTGCAGAATCCGTTGTATTCGTTCTAAAAAGCTTTGATATCGGTTCCGATCTTGTCATTTTTGTTTCGGAAGTTTTTGGTGAACGTTTCAAAGTGTTCAAGTATAGCCGGTACCGTTTTTTTCTCCATACATGCCAGTTAAAGGCCTTTTTTTTTTGGTTTCGGTCAAAATCCTTTTTTGCAAGGTTGGTTGGTCTGTTACCAAAAGAAAAAATTCCTCCACAGACGTAATGGGACAATGTAACCTTGCCAATTTGTTTGTGAAAACCAAAAAGAGAGAGTACCGTAGGACCACAGACAAATTTTATATTGGTTTAGTGGTACACACATAACCTGCTGGATTCTGTGGTGGAGCTTTGCAAGCGGCGGTTTAACCTCCGTTCGCTCCCTACAGAATCCCTTGTAGCCGTCCCCAGAAATTTTGAAATCGGTTCCCACTGGGTTGATTTAATGTTTTTAGTTTAATGTTACAGAAAAGTAGCAATGACCAACCTGTTTTCTTTACCACTCATGTGAATTAATCACAGACATACTATGAACTTTTCTTTTGAGGGGTATATTTATTCTTGGACACTTGTCCATTACCGACATTTGCCGACGGTTCTGAGATAACCAAATTTTTGGGTCTAAACACGGTAAAATCAATTAGTCCGACCAGAGAATATTCAATTCAATTGAATAATGCGTTTCACAAAAAACTGTTGGGCACGACTATCAGGATCATTCGCCCATTGCCGACTTCCGTCGTGGATTTACCACAGAATATAGTAGAAGCACAATACGCTTCACATTTAACTGTTGGGCTCGACTGCTAGGATCATTTGCCCATTGCCGACATCCGTCGACTATTTTCGCTTTTGGTTATAAACCAATACGTACAAAGAAGAAATATAACCAATATTTGCTCAACTAGCAAAAAACAATTTTGACCGATACCAAAAAAACGACATTCCCCCACTTCCACCTAGGACCATCCGGGCGCATTAGGCCTCCATACCGGCGTGAACGGAAAAAAACGATGAAGTCGGCGACAATTATCACTTTAAAACATTCACTGAACACTAAAAACACTAAATCAACCCAGTGGAAACCGATTTCAACATTTTTGGGGACCATTACAATGGATTCTGTTGTGAGCGAACGGAGGTTAAACCGCCGCGTGCAATGCTCCGCCACAGAATCACCACAGATTATAGGAACAGCTTACCACAGAAATAATATGTCAATGGAACTAACCTTGAATTAACCTCTTTATAAACAGTTTAAAAAAGTTATTGTTTATTACAAGTTGTTTACCCTAGGTCAATTTAAACAATTATGATTCTATTAATTCCCAGGTAGTAAATGAGAACAGCTCATCCATCTCTATCGCGAGAAAAATAATGCATCTTAACGAATAGTAAACGCCGAAGGAGGCCTCAGTAATTCGGCACTGAAATTTATGCTAATGCGGACAAAGAACTTTCTAATATCATTATGCGTGATTGTGACCATAAGTTTAGGGTTTATAATTTTTGGCCAACATAAACCCGAAACAATTCAGAATATTGTAATGTCAACAAATGAACAAATCAAAAGCTTTAAGGTAACTATTTTGGTGTTTTACTGCAGATAGGAAGCTATGCTTTGTAGGATAATCTGAGGGATGTTGAATCTAAGACCTTGGTAGCAGATGAGAAATTTCTAGATATTTTGGGTTTTACACAAAATCCTCGAATATATCCAAGGGATGTTTGGACCAATACATCACTTCCTGTTGTAGTAACTTATGTATTTCGCGGACAAGAAAGTCAGGCTATTGGTCTTATTTACAATGTGGCCAAAATTTTGCCCAGTAATACAATTCTGGTATATAATTTGGGATTGACAGATTATGGCCTTAAGACAGTGAGTAATCCATTGGGTTTTTAGTAGCAAAATTGTTTCCCCGGCTCAGTTATCTGATTCTGAATATCTATTCTTAATGTTTTGATTGAGCAGAATAGAAAAACTGCATTATGTTGCTTTCAAAGACCATATTAATTATACATATGCCATGGTCAAAAGTATTGTCTAATATGTAAGTAAAAATTGATCAATAATTCTCAGCGACATTTAAAAATCCTTTTAAATGTTGTGCGTTATTTCCAAACACTTAGCTTTTGTAAATATCGGATTATTTTGTGATACTTTTTTTCAGGTAGAGCGAAAAATTCAGAAAAATACCTTCAATTTTCATTCAGTCTTTGCACTCTGCATTTATCAACAAGACAGTTATGCCCAAAAAAAAATTACATAGGTTACTATGTAATACTGTATAATAGCATTAACCAGTGGCATCCAAACATAAAGTATGGAAAGTTTTAGATAGATTAACAATGGATTAATCAAAAACAACTATGAAGGAAACAAACTAATGAAAAAAGTTCTTTGTAGATTTGAATCAAAATCAGCCTCAAGTTAGTAGCTTTGGGAACTAATCCCCTAATTTGCATAATAAAAAAGGACAAAGACAATATTAGACTGCCCATCTAGTCCTCAACTAAAGAATTTATTATTTATTTTTTATTGTTTCCCATAAAAAGGGTGGGCGGCCAATCTTATTGTACAATATTTTAATATAAATTTAAATTAACTAAAAGTACTAGTAAGTAAGTGTGCTTGCAATACAAAAAAAAAATTAAATTATAAGCTCAGTAAGGAAAGTAGGGAGGAATCAACATAAAAGCAGAAAAACTCACATTAACTTACTTCCCCTTCTATCGCTCATTTCCCAAAAAGACTTTAAGCTCAAAGGTATTGCTGAAGTTGAGTAAAGATGACTTAAAGGTTGTAATGGCTGTAAAATCACCGGTTCAGGCATAAGCATATAGGGGACATAAGAAAAATATGTGGTCAAAAGTTTCAAGATCATATGTATTACAGAGCAATTTTCTTGTGAATTTATTTTATAGTTATAAATTGAAGGTTGAGTGACATTAACACTTAGAATGGGTTTTTGTTTTATTAGCCTTTATAAATTAAAATTAATTTTTCAAAGAAATTTCCACTAATACTTTTTACAAAACTTCTGGATTCCTCCTGCGTCTGTTTTTGCTGAGGCGAACTTGCTGACGTTTTGCCAATCATCCTGTTGGCTTCTTCAGAGCTACAGCCACAGTTTTCAGTCAAGCTCTGAAGAAGCCAACAGGATGATTAGCGAAACGTCAGCAAAAACCGACGCAGGAGGAATCCAGAAGTTTTGGAAAAAGCCCAATTAAGTTTCCTGAAGAATCTAGAAGTTTAATTTGTTGATTAAAATGCATTTTTAGTAATCGCCATCTATTTTGTAAGAGCAAGTTTAGCACCATTTTGATAAGAGATAAATGAAACTACCCTGCCTCGAGTTTAACAATTGATTTCAAAAAAAGCATTCTTTTATAATTTTTTTTTATCTACAAGGTCTAAATTTCTAGATCTTCATACTGGCAGGCCAGACCGAAATTTGATAACCTTGCAATCTTCAAAGGCTAGCTGAAAATACAACCCTTCTTTAATTTAATAAAAATTATTGCTTAAGATGACGAATCATACCTGTTGTAAAAAAATTTATTGATTTTTGACCGGTAATAAAAAAAAAGTGAACTCATGAAAGTATTTTTTTTATATAAGCTAATCAAATATGACATTTTCAGCTTTTTAATTATTGCAACAGCACGCGTTGTCAAGTGACTACTTTAGATCTGTATGAATTTCCATCGCACGTATTCAGCGAAGACCCTCACGCTTACCGACCGCTAGTTATTCAAGTAATACGTATCTGCTCATTTTTGACACAATGTCTAAATTTCTTTTTATTAGGATGCCTTGTCCCGAACGGGGGCCACGTTATTTATTGAAAACAGCTACCGTTTCCTGCATAACGTCAGCCGCACCGTGTTGAACAATCTCTATGAAAGACGGGCGTTGAAGGAAGGCATTTTAGCTTTCCCGCACAAAACGAAACGCCCTGTAACCAGTTTTACGCACAAGAAGATGTTCGAGTATTTCCGCACGGACGCGGAGAATTTTTGGTTCTTGCAGATGGTAAAAGCGGAGGTGTTGTTTGTGGTAAACTTCAAGGAGATTCACGAGAGCGTCATGTTACCGTGGATCCAGTGCAGCTTGACCCAAGACTGTATATTTCCCATAGGGGCGCAATCAACAGGGTGCAAGTTTGATAAAAAACCACTTTACAGGTTTGCAAAAATAACTGCGATTTCAAAAATCTCAATGCAAAGGATAAACCTTTAAATAAATATTACAACTGGATGAATAATTCTTGATTAATGATCTTAGGTTCTGTTCTGTTGCCATATTATCGGCCTTCAATTTTTATAATTTTTTTTAAATTCTCCATCAGGGGAGGGGGATATATCCTTCAGCTTTCCAAGCTCCAGGGTGTTAAAACTAACATGAGTCAATTATGTTCTTAGATGTGAGAATTGGAAACTCCGAAACAATGGCATAGCTTACAATTACATGAAACTGTACAAAGTGAACAACTTGGTAATTTAAATGTGGCTCTGGTTTAAAACATCAGGCAAGTTTTTTGTTTAAAATTTTGCCAAAATCAAAATGCAAAAACAAAATATTTGTTAAAAAGAACTTCGTATCAAATGTTTTGTATTTTTCTATAACAGGTATCTCAGTAAGGGCGATAAGGTACCGTGTCAGGAGAACTAGTGTTTCTAAAAAATTGAGAAAAAAAAGTTAAGTAAATCAGCCAAGAGAAAATGCTGCAAATTATTTTCTAGTTTCGGAAATGGCTCCCAGGAGATGTTACTATCATCTTGATTTTTTAAACCCAGTTTCTGCAAAATTCTCTTATATTTACCATAGTTAGAATGAGTACCTTTTTAAAGTGGAGACAAATTCGAACCTCTTTTGGTAAATGCTCTTTTCTCTATGTCTGCATGGAAGTATTGGTAGTTTTTGAATATGTTTGGAAATAAATGTCAATAACTTAAATTAAGCGTGCTATAAGTGAGGCAATTGCGATCTGCTTGCTCACCTGCCACCAGCTGGCATTTTCTGACATAATCGCAAAAAAAATTCTGACTGATAAATAACAATCCAACAAATCATTTTCAATTTAGGCTGTTATTAATGTGCAATTGTTCCGAATTTACCAAATAACACACCAGTTTGGTCCTTAAGATGCCAAATGATATTCAAAATCGGAATAAATATGTTTATTATTATTATTAAATATGTTTATTACTTTTCTTTCAATTTTCATAGAAGGAATTATTATTATTGTTATTACGTTTTGACGCCCGTTTTCCATTATTTAGTATTATCACTTATTTTTTCATTACTAATTAAGTTTAATGACTAACTCTGTCAATAATGAATTGTGATTTTGTCAGAAAACGACATCTTGTGGCAAGGTAAGCGGTCGCGATCATCTGGCTTGTAGCACGTTTGACAGCGTAGGCGAGGTTATTTCTAAGGAATGCAAGTTTATTAAGATATGTTAAGCCTTTTAGAACCTGTCCTTTTAGGAATAGAGCTAAAAGCATTAAACAGAAAAGATTTGAAAATTCCAAAAGTAGTCCACTGCTCAAAGTGTAGTAGTAAACTCAAGGGAAACAGCGTTATCCTCGTCCGCACAAACTTATTCTGGTGTCACGTTAAACTCTGGTTATTACTGATTAAATAAGAACTCTTTAATTCTTCTTTTGGGGGAATTAAAACTTGTCCTAATTTTAAAATGGCCACTTTAACTGGGGTAAAAAAAGAATATATTTTCTTATTTTAACAAAACCAACAATTCCGTTACAAAGGTTTAACTTCTTTCCGATCTCCCACTTCATAGCACTTTTCAAATTTTCGCATTGAAAACATTGGGTGTTTAAGAAGCCCTTACACTTCACCAAATATTATCCTGTTAGTAATCAGAACAAAAAGAACTTGATTCTATATTTTCATTAATAAATGAAAAAAAAAATACATCGTGTGTTTGATTGTTTGTAGGTATTCAGGGTGCCATAGCTATGATGCTTCAGCATTAAACATCGTCTTAGGATTACACTACAAATACGCCGGTAGTGCGTATATGGTAACGGATCAGGCGGTGTACTTCAGGGAAGTACCTCTGCACAAGGCGGACGCCATGCTAAAGGAACTGGAACAAAACGCTACAATTGACGGGCAACTCCAGTTGGACAGTTGAGTAACAGAGCAATGATACAGAAATTCGCAAAAGTAAACTGTGTGATATAATTAATGTTTTAATTGTCAGATATAAAATTATACAAATGAGAGAAGTAAGTATTTTAAGGACTACTTAGGTTGTGAGCCATTGAACATTGAAATGATCTAATTATATCAACAACCAAAATTGTTTCGGTGGTTCACAAGAAATCTATGACATAACAAAATCATTCCGAGCATTTGTAGTTTCGCGGTAGTATTAACTAAAAAATTTGTACTGGCCATGTTTGTCATTGTGTTTGTAGACTTTATGACGTTTTGTAACTATGAAATGTGCTGCCAGAGGCTGAAAGTCGCATATTTGCATTGCTCATTAAAAATTTCAGCAATCGTGGAATCATATCATGTTATATAATCAAATTGTTGGTGGAAACAGGGCGCTTGCGGACCTTTCGATAAAAAAATCAAAACTCCTAAAACCCCAATTAAAATCTGAAATAGGCGATGTCAGAATTAGTTAAATTTACTGATTTTTGATGGGAGTTAAACATTATTTTCTCAAAGTTTGTCAGAAAGCTAGACACTTATCTATTAATATTAATTATCATTACTCATTCGACCCTCATCTATTTCTGGAGAGCTTTTATAAAAATTTTCGTGTTTGCACGAATCCGTGGATTTGAAATAAACTTTAGAATTAATCAAGGCTGTTTTTATCGTGTTAAAAATAGTTACCGGTTTTGAGAGGTTGAAATGGAATTTTTGACATTATTTTAAAGGTCCGTAATTATATCTATTTTGCACTGGCGTTAAATGAGTGGACTACAGTTCACATTCTGACAGTCTGCATGGTGGTTAACTTAAATTTATGCAACATCAAATTTTATTTCTTAATTTCAAACATTTAAAAATATATAAACTCTCCTTGTACAGTAAAGCAATTGAAACAATTAATAAAGCATCAGTTGGCCAGGCCCAATAGTGATTTAGTATTAAGTCAGAAATAATGTCAACCAAATGTGATTGTGGTGATTCTCTTTAATATTAGTTGATTTCGTAATTTCCGCTTTTAATTGTGATATATCACATAGAGGTTATTTAAGTTGTTTCTATTTATTAGCTTAAACTCATTTAATAATTTGAACAAATTTCATGGAAAGCAATGATTTGATTTTTTCGAAAATTTCAGCGGAATTGTATGTATAGGTATAGGTATGTATAGGTTCCGCTATACATGTTTTGTTTTCATTACTAATTTGTTGTAAAGTTGTGTTTAAATAAAATCCACCCCGAAAGCTCCACTTATTGTATTTTATTATCTTCGCATGAACAACAACATTTTTTGACACTCTTCATTGGAGTTATACCTATTACAGTCTTTTAATAAAGGTGGATTTATAAACTTGTTTCATATTCTAGCGGCTGTTGCCCATGGATATGGGGGTACTTTTAAATTTACTATGATCACTGGATCATAACATGCAACACAATAAAAAACCGAATTGAGTAGATTAGATGGCTAAGGGGCACAAGTACAAAAATATTTTCAAAAGTATTTAAAAAATAATAAAATTTGTGAAAGCTTTTCCGACACAAAACATGCTTCATAGTGTCGATAGTCATTAGAATTTGGTCGGCAAAAATACATAGCATAGCATCTAATATCAATTAAAAGTAAAAATATCTTTTATATATCCAGAAGTTTGTAACGTTTGGAGAACAGGCGGTCTAATTTATTTTACAACGATTTTAAGCATCCAGGTTTAAAAGCTATTAGTTTAAGTTGAATGAGATATTCTTCAAGTACATGAAAGAGATGGCACCTTGCTTCTATATCAAAAGGGTCTACTGAATTTAAACTTGATCTTTTATAAACAGTTCCTTTTTAAATACTATTAGCGTTGTTCACTAGCAGATTGCTCCAAAGCTTTTGACAGAGTGAACCATAAAACAGGGTGGATATTATTATAGGATCCCTCTCTCATGGTTCGCCAGTTATTTGACATGTTTTGACTTGACTTGTTTTTCAGACAATTTAATTTATTATATTTTGCGGATTGTTTAAAATGTTTAGTCAGATGTCGAAGTATTGCGAACTATTTGGGCTTGTAAATGACCTTTCAAGGAAGTTCATCAGGAATCTCAATGCCATTATTTTGCAACAAGTTCTATTCGTTGCTTGTGCTAAAATATTCATTAATGTAGATTAAATATAGCAAAATCATTGCATTTTCCTTCATCTCGTCAAAAGTATAGGTCAGACAAAAGTTGTAAATCTTGAATTGTCTACAGAAATTTTCTAATAGTATTTTTAACAAACACGATTCCAATGAGTTCGTTTTCATATCAGAAAATTTTACCGTTTGACAATCATTTCTTATATACTACTTCAACTTTCACTTGTACATTCTCAATTTTGCTGAATATCAATGAATTTTTTGAATTGAGATGCATCAGTTATTGGAGGAAATTTCTTTGTAATGAAAATAGTAAGCGGGTAATCTTTTTTTTTATTTTACACTGACATTTAACTTCAATGTAAATATAAATATTCACTTTAATGTCCAGAAATTTCGGTAACTGAGCTTTATCTAAGCATTTAATAAAAATATTCTTTTTTCTATCTACAAATATTCAATTATTAATATTTCACCTAAAAATAAAATACAGAAATAAAATAAAAAATGTCTGCAATAAAGGACCACAACGCTTAATAATAAATATTTGCCTTTGCCTTCCACTAAAATACAAAAAATGTGGCGTAACAATTAAATCCACAAGCAGCAATTTAAAAATACAACACACCACTATACAACTATATTATGTGTACAAGATTGCCTAGCATAACCGCCTTTACATTTTCATAAATCCATCTATAACTTATTAAGAATCTGCCTACTATATGAAAGAGTTTCAATTAAAAAATCTCGTCAGTACAAAAACCCTTCATGAACTGAACTCAGCCTGTTTTTAGCCCAGGAGCGGGTAGGATGTCAAACAATAAAACACTTCCAGGACAATTAAACCATAACTAGTATGAAAAGTGGCCGTGGCAGACAACGAAATTTATTACCTGTACGTACCTTTACATAGCGTGCCTAACGGCTCAGTCTAATTCGCGGTCTACAAAATTAAGTGCTGTGCGCGCCTAAATAAAGTTTTATTTAAAAAATTAATCCGAACACCATACTAAATGCAGATAGATGTAGACTGAGCAGCAATGGTCAACTTGCAACGTTGAACATTAATAGCAATTTCACAAGCGTATGGGTATAGTAAATTACCTTATATATAGGGAGTTTTTCAGTCAATATCTATTAAATTAGAAACTAGTATAGGTGCGCGATGTGCAAGTAACCACATATTCTTTAATGTTATAGCAATCGAAGGATAATGGGAGATTAAATATTCAATTACCACTTAAAGCATGTTGATTTATTTAAAATATTACTATACTTGAAAACTATGTACTTAATCGTACTTAAAAACATCAAAATCATAATTTTAAATAAAAAACAGTGGAACGATGATAACAAAAACTATCGCCCCGCACATATAAAAAAAAATTAAAAAATCTTAACAGAACTGGGCTTAGGACAACTCATTTCTCTATTCTATGTATGTGTGAATGTATTGAAGCATTCAATTAATACTTTCTGTAAATCCGTCTCGTTCAGCTCTGACAAACAACATTAATAACTTATTTGAAATTCCGTGGGCAGTCAACAACGACTAACACCCAAAGTCAAGCGTAGATTTCTTTATACACAGCCAATATATCCTAACGGACCAGGTACTCTCTATCATACACAGCATATGTTTTTTACTGCCGGATCATCCTAAAGGTGACAAAAAATCACTTATATTCAATTAATACAGTAAAGTGAAAGTGCAAAAAAATGCAACTTTAAGGTCAATCCGGCTTTCACTTATAATTTTGGTTACTGATCTCTTGGATGCAGGTAGCACTTCTTAAAGCCCCTGCTTTCATACGTAGAGGTCTGTGTGTAATCCGGATGTTTCTTGGAAAGCTCCACATCGACCAATTTCAGCATCTCTTCAACATGGAAAGTTTTATGATATCTGTAAAATATGTCGCAGATACTTTGAATGTACCACGTTCCTTTCACTGGATCACGGTTAGAAACGAATCCTGAAAAAATCAATTAGTTTTAAAATTATTGGCAGTAATTGCCATATTAAAGCAAACAATGCACCAATGATTGAATGATGTTTCCAAAACACAAGAATTTTATTGTAACGTGGGTTTAATTCATCTTGAATAACATTTTGATTCTCTATAACAAGAAACCGACTTTGCACAAAAGGCAGACTTGGAGAGAAACTTAAGTAAAGTAAGTAAAAACTTGAAAGATATGTCGTTTCATTTAAAGAGATTGTTTGGGATGTAAAATCTATTGTCAAATATCTTTACTTTAAATTAAATTATTATTTTTTACTCCCTATTCTAAAAAATATGCACTGCTCAGACGTACGCGAAGTGTTATTTTAAACGTCAGGTTCATTAAACACTATCTTGAGTCATTTCGAGCATTTCCAGTACTTTAGTAACGGAATTGGCAGCGATCCGATTTAAAGTAATGAATTAAAATTTATAAACCTTATTATCAAATCACTGCTCGTTGAGTTAATGGTATATTATGCAACAAGTGTGGTAAACGGCATTTATTTATTATTTTAGTTTATGTTGTACGTATTCTATATTTTTAAGGAATATGCCGAAATTCATCACTCTTTTCTTCCAAAATTATTCACGCTGGCATACAATACCAGCAGACAATGTTTCAAATTATGCATTTTTAAAATGCACTATGTTGTTTAAAAAAGGCACGATTATTATTAAATAGAAAACATGAAACCCCCGTAACTCTTTATATTATACCAAAAAGTCATCGTTTTCACAATTTTTCTTATTTACCTGGAAGTGTAGAAAATGCTATCAACATGTCGGCATGCGCTTTAACAACCTTCCTTATAGGCGCCGCGTCTACTGTTATAGAAGACTCATCCAAACTGCCCCTAAAACAACATGTTCGAGTACGCATCCGAAATTTATTAGATCACCAACCTGCAGCATTGAATTATAAATATTTTCGGTTTTCCCAACAACTGTTTCGAATTCTGAATAGAGAATTCATCAAGAACACTGTCTATGGGCAAACCGACGTCGTCCACCCCGAAAATTTCGGTGTAACCGCCACTAATTGAATTTCCCTTCGAGTCTTTGTTGGTCCCGTGGCTCATCATCACCACAACGCTCATATCGTACTTTTTAAAAGACAAAGCCCTGAAGTTTTTGATGGCTTTCATCATTTCCTACCATTCAACAAAATTACAAACTGCAGGGATCAATATTCCGAACAAATTAAAAACTTACATGTGACTTTAAATTTTTGTGGGCTACGACGTCAAAATTCAGAGCTCTAAATAACTTCTGAAGGTCTTCATGATCTTTCTCAGCGCCTTTTCTTTGCTCGTTGGTCTTACCTCCGAACTTAATATTGTTTATTATCAATGCACGTCCCCTCTTCGGGCAACTATTGGGATACGCGGGAATTAGTGAAGAAACGATGTTTGGTTGAGACTGGGCTTTGAAACACAAAATTAATCAAAATATTTTTTGTTGCAAAAACTGTTCCAAATGTTTTGCGAGCGTAAAGTGAATAAATAATTTTATTAAGAATGATGAATGGTTTAATCATAGGTGAAGCAAAGCCAAAAGCAACTAACCATGCGTGGAAACTGGTGCGTTCTGCGCAGAAATATACGGTGAAGTACTATGCCTTGACGGGTAAGTAGCCGTAGTGGTTCCACCGAACGCTGTTCGATAAGTAGTATTTGTAGGAAACGTGTTGCTTCCCTGGGAAAGAGGGAGAGGACGATGGGTAAATGCTTTAGCATCTATTTGTGTGGGTTGAAGTATATTGTTGTTAGTAAGGTAGGGATATCTGGAACTGCTAGCACCAAATGCACTGCTTGATGCGATTGGTTTGTATTCCAAGTTTAATTTTGAAGTTAACTCTGCCAGATCTGTGACACCTGCTGAATAAAAACATTACAACTCCTGAAATAAACCAATTGCAAGCTGGTGTTTACCTCGTGAAAAGCTAACGCTTCTTTCTTCTTTGACAGTGGATGAGAATATTTGAGACGATGACCTGCAAGAACCAAAATTAGTATTTAATACCCAAACTACTGTTTAGTTTAACTTGGGATAATAACACAGTGTAGAATGGAATGGTTAGCTACTAGTGGTATGAAGAAAAAGAATTGGAAAAAAGTTCAAGATAATGCTCGGATCAGTGACCAATCCCAATATTCCAATCTACTTTTTCGCAACACTGGGAAACACAAATATCATCCCTCTATATGGAACTTCACCAAGAATTTCTGGGTTATGATTTTGAAGACAGGGTAAACTTCTGCACCGTTATAAATGAATAGATGAAGCTACTTTTCGTAGTAATGGTGCCGTTAATCGTCATAACATGCATTACTATTGAACAGTTCTGAGTACGGGAAGTACAAAACCAAAACCATTGGTCACTTAATGTGTGGTGTGAAATAAAACACTTTACAGTTATGGAAAAGATATGGAAAATAGGATTCGGGACGCGTGCAGGAGAATAACACCGTTTATGATAAGGAACGTACAAGAAAATATACGAAAAAGACTAAACTTGTATATCCAAGTATAAGGACAGATTTTTGCGACATAATAATAATTAAAAATAAGTTAAGATAAAGTTAATTTGTAGTAAGTAAGTTAAGTAAAAATTTTTTGCTTTTTCTGTGAATTTAAAATTTGGCCGTTATTTTTAACAAAATTGCTGTTCATTTTTTAATTTTAACGGAGTCCTGTTGACTAATAGTTTTGTCAAAGTCAACAAGCAAGAGCAAGAGTCTTAGACAGAAAGAAGGATAAATATTAGAAAAGTAAAAATAACTCGCAAAGTATTAAAAATAGATATAGGACATTCTTAATAAGAGTTGTAGGTTTTTGTAAGATATTTCAGAAAAAATAATAATACAATCGAGATTTTTCAATTAAAAATGACCCAAATATATTCCTAGATTTTGAAATACCCTGTAGCATCTAATTCAAATTGCGTTGCATATATCTTTTACGTTAGCTTAAAAAATAATGGCGCTATCGTATTTTTTTTTTGCATGCGTGAACGCTATTCTTTAGAAAAATTAAAATAACCAAAAAATTAAAATGAGTTTAAGACCCGCGTGCTGTAAAGCGGAAGGGACCATTGTTTTCGGCCCGTGTGCCACAAGTCAGGGCCGTATTTAAGATGTTAGACGACAAGAACTGTGCCGGGTGGACTGTTGTATTTCAAGAGCAGAAAAATTTTCTTTGATTAAACTGTTATATTAATTCATATTACTGAGCTTTTTATAAATCTTCCTAAAACAGTCCCGACTTGAGGTTGCTCGATTTCAAGTTCAATTTGCCATTTAGATAGGTTGATCTCTTATATTAATAACAATTGAGGAAGCTTAAACTTAAGGGTTTCACATAATGACTCTAAAATATTTTCCTAGGAAAGCAATACAAAATCTTATGTAGATAAATGATTTACAACGGACGTTTTCCCAGTTTGCTTTGTTGTGGGGGTTTTTTAAATCGGAGTATGCTGTCAGTATTATGAAACAGTATTTTCTTAGCCGTCGAAGCTTTGGAGTTATTCGGTCTTGTGTTTGTAGTAACTGTTACCAACTTGCTGTTATTCAATTGTTTTTCCAAACTCGGTGTGCCATTTTTATTGAGATACCATATCAATTTTATTACAATTTATTTCTTACAAAATACTAACATTATTCCGTTTTGTTGAATGGATTTTTCACTACATGGACTAATAATCGAGGAATCTCACAATCAACTTACGTCAACAAGTACGGTTATGGAACGTCATTGTGGAAATGCGTATCTATTTATTGACTGTTACAAAGAGAAATCCAAGCGAGGTAGGCCTGTGGTTAGACCTCCATAAAAAATTACCAAATTTAAATACCGGATTTTGTCGTAAAAACGGTATATCGTTCGGCACAGTATACTATTAATAAAAAATATTTTATTAGCCATGCTTTTTTGAGCCACCCTGTATAAAATGATTTGATGATTTTAAATTGGGGAGGGGGGGGGGGGGGGGGTAACATTAAACTTTACTAATAATTTACAGAGCTGAGACACGCATATTTTTCGTTTCACGTCCTATATTATACACCCTATACATAGTCTTGCTAACATCGGCAAGAAAACTTTGACTAATAGAGAAACTAAAAGAATAAGTCAGCAAAGCAAAGTAGTAAATATACATACCTATGGAAAATTGTCGTGGTAACCCCATCATTACCTTTCTTCACTGAAGTTTTTTCTGCATAAACAGAAGAAGAATTTCTATAACAAAATTTCGCGAATAAGCATAGTGTTATGTAGGTTTTTGTTTAAGAGTATCATCAACAAGTTTGATAAATTTTAGATTGATTGATTTTGCACGAACGTGGCGTAGCGGAGGAATGTTTAATAAAAAAGTGTTCGAAGAAGTTCATCGTCTTGGGCATACTATTCTTTGCTACAGTTTTTGGGTACATTTTTGCGAAACTAGCGCAAATACATTCAGTGAGTAACGTGTGACGTGTCCAAATACCAGAAATAGCCGACCGTGGCCAACGAAGTTAAAGACTTAAATACTTAGGTTTTAGTAGAATTAAATATAGACTCAGCCCCGACAATGTTTATGGAATGCGATGCATGTTATTTTTTTAAGTAAATAACTAATTTATTTGAAATTTATCAACATCATAAACAGGGTGTCCAGTACATAAGGATATCGGACACTGTAAGATACAAATGGACGTAAAGTAGCGTATGTATATGCCAAAAAATAATCTAGCTACGTTTTATTTTAAATCGATACCTTTACGTAGATAAAGGGTGAAAACGCAAAATATCCATTTGTGAAAAACCACAATATTTTCCTCATTACAGGAGGTGAAATGTTAAAATTTTCAGAATATGGGTAAAAGGTTAATGCGATGCTAGAAATGGCGTAAAAAAATAGGCCTACTATTTTGCGAACGGCCGAAGTCAACTTTTGTTTTTATCATGGGCGCCATATTGAACATTTTCACAATCCTCTGTAAAAATGCTTTTCAACCATATGAACACATTTGGTCAAAATAAATTCGGAAAAATAACAAAAATTTAATTTTTAAACACGTTTAAATAATGAGTAAAAAAGATGGGAGTCAATAAAATCGAGAAAAGAAGTCAGCAAAATACCTTTAAAGATTTTTTACTTCCTTAACGCATGAAAAAAACGAAGAAAATTCACAGCATTTTACAATAAAATTAGTCACTGTCAACAGCTTCTCTTAATTCTCCGTTCCCATATGAGCTACTGTATACTTGATTTCTGAGGTCAACCGATAAAAAGAAATCAAGGGGTGATATGTCTGGAGATCTCGCAAGCCATCTCAGGTTCTCTCAGAATTTAAATTATCATGGAAAGAATATGATCCAATTTTATGGGTAACAAATCTTACGTTAAATCCCCACCTCACTTCACGAGCTGTGCATGATAAACGCGGCGATATTAAATTATATTGTTGTTATTTTTCTGGATTTATCTTAACGAAACATAAATGTGTTACACATGGTTGAAAAGCGTTTTTAAGGAGGATTGTGAAAATGTAGAAATTCAATATGGCGGACATAAGAAAAACAAAAGTTGACTTTGGCCGTACGTAGCGTAGTAGTCATATTCCATAAAGAAAATGTATTATTACTTTTTACTCTAGCTATTACTAAATTCTATTTCAAGACAAGGACCATGGAAGAGAAATGAAGTTTTCTCGAATAAACGTTTCCCAAATAATTAGATTAATTAAAAAACTAAGGGTCTGATTATTAAACTCAAAACCAAACATATCATATTGGTTTGAGCTTTTCTTGCTTTCTAATTTCAATTAAAGTCCTGTTTAACAAATAATGAATTATAAATAGTCGGAATATAAAACTTTGCAGCGAATTACCATAATTTTGAATTCTAAATAAGGTAATTCTAAAAATTGGTGGTGAACTAGGGAATATTATACATGAAATATGCGTAGAATTTTCCGAGCAATAGAAAAATGTAATAACATATGTGTAGAGTGCTCCATTTAAAATCTGGAATCTGGAATTTTGACGTTTGTCAATTTTGACGGCTGTCAGCGAATGTATTCGTGTTATTTTGCAAAAATGTACCCAAAAACTAGTTCTAAAAAAAGTATAGTATGCAACACATTTGGTAAACTGTCGCTAACCGCACTGGTTGTATAATATACTATTACGTTGAAAATAGAAATATGGAAAAGGCATAGTTAATAGACGTAGGTAATTAGATTGTGCATGAAAGCATAGAATAATACTCGTACAATTCTATTTGAAATAACTAAGTTTTATAAATTTACAAATGATGTAAATGGTTGATGAATTTCGGACACCCTGTAATTCAAACGTCAGTTTTGAAATATTTTTTCTAGGTTTCCGTTTACCATATAGGCGCGTTTACCGCCGCCAATATGCCGGTCATAATTGGTTCAACCAACAAAAAGTTCACAAAGTTTTCCTGTGTTCACAATGAATACATTTTTTAAAAAATTCGAAATAGTTAAGATATTTATTAGAAATTAATTAAGAAACGTACCAAGAAATCTTCGCAAAAATCCAAAAATGAAATAATATATCTAGTGTTCCATTTAAAATATGGGATATTCTGTTCAATCGAAGATATTTTATATTATATAAACAACCTTTGAAAAATTAACCTTTGTATTTTTTTTATAAAACTAACGCGAATGAGGTATCTGCTCCCCACCATAACATCAATATTTTCGGTGGCTATTGGCGAATTGCAATTAGAATTGCGGAACCATTAGGCCAAAATGAAGCACAATTCATTATTAGAACACAAACATTTCAAAAATAATAAAGGTGGAAAATAATTTATATATTTAAACATATAACTTTATTCTGATAGTTTGGACATTTAAGGAAAGGTTCAATTCAAATAAATTCATTCAAAGTGACAGGCCGACTTGACATTACCTAAAAGCCAGTTAAGACCTGTTACGGTATGCATTTTTTACAACATACCACTTAAATAAATAAATTTATACCCATATATAACGAGTAATAATACTGCAAATCACAAATGTGTAGGTATTATAACAAAACACGATAAAACAATATCCGCAATAAAATCTAAAACTTTTAGAATTAAGTTTATTGTTCCTTTTTTCCCGAGATTATCTACTCATCGATAAATTTTTTCTAGGAAATGACAGATTGCTTGAATTCTAAAATAATATATTGCACAATAATAGTTTCATTCTTTGCCAAAAAAAAGAATTCATGGATATATGTAAATATAATTAACGAACGTAAAATTTCAGATATTAATAACTTGAAAATAAATTTGAGTTATATGTACTTATTTACACCAGGATTTTTGTGGAGGCAATAATAAGAAAATACCCAATACATGTATTGTTGTACCGTTTTTCCCAGTTTTAACATTTTTAGTGTCTATACTAGGCTACGCGGGTTTCAACTACCACCGAAAAGATATTCTGAAGTATGTTTGTAATCAATTGAAAACCAACTCTTAATAAAGGAATAAAATGTGCTTACCCAGATTTTTCCTTCTTCTTATTCTTTCCAGAAAACATTTTTGTAGCACAGCTTTCCTACAAATGTTAAAAGTGAATGAGGAGGATTACTCACGATCTGCCTGTAGGTACTTAACATAGAAAAATAATTATATGTGGTACCCAAGGTTTGAATATCTCATTTTATCTTATCTATTAAAGCATAACCACATAACCAAGACTGCTAAGAACATTGGCATTTGTTACTAGTTAACCACATACTCATGGAAAATAAAGTTTTATGAAAATGTGGTAGTTTTCCAAAAAATTACATTCGAAATTTTAGAAAATGAGTTTTACGATTTACATATTGTTTAATTTGGCGCCTTTTTTAGTATTGTCTTCTTTTTATTACGTTGGCCACTTGGCAAAATAAAAACTAGACTTATGGCTACGCTTCATAGTTACGAAGTGGGATCCTGCAATATTTAAATTTTACAAAATAACTGGTAAGTTAGAATCATTAGAGTTATTCCGATTCTACTGTTTGACAACTTTGACATTTAAGAGCTCATTCTCTCATTCACAAAACTTGTTCCAAAATATGTATTACGATCTGTCAGATATCAGTTTCGTATTCGCCATGGTTAACATGTTCCCTTTGCCTATAAAACCACAACTTTCTGTTGTGGTAGTAAATTGGCTATAAGGCGGATAATTCAGTTTAATAGAAAATAGAAGAATTAAAATATGGTCTTACAAATATAATTTATGTCTATGGTCATAGATAAGTTAGGACTTTTTGTATCCATTTTTAGATTTAACGTATTTTTTTGAGTTTTTAAAAACTACGTTACTTCTAAATTAATTTTAATCTTTTTGCATTTTATAATAATTTTTATAGAACTTAAGTTTACTGTTATAATTCTTCGTTTTTTATTTATATACTATAGTTTTAAAATGGCGGGAAAACCATGGAATTCCTAACCAAATCTAATGTCATTCTAAACGAGACATCATCTCGGAAAACTGAGGCTGTTTGAATTTAATGCACAGTGGTTGCTTATGCACTAATTTATATTTATTTTGGAAGAAATTGCGAATTCGAGGGTAGGTAAGTTTGTTTCTTAGTGTTTTCATTGATTCATTACTTACCCGTATGGTGGTTTCCATTGCATAGCGCAGCATTGTTTTGGTTAATAATCTGGGTTGCGTCCAAGAATATTGAATAGTGTTTAAAATTTGCTTTTTGGTTTAATAGTTGTAATATTGTTGGTTAATGATGGCAAACTACACGACAGGATTGAAAAAATTTACGTAGTGCATGAAAGCCTACTGGAACATCTTTAATGGTATAACAATTATTTATGGTATCTCTTGTTCCAGGGTGTAACATAGCAAGGATGAGTTAAAAGTGAATAAATGTGATTTACACATACTAAACTAAAAATAAGTGTAAAAATACAAGCAAAAAAAGATTTAAAGGTGTTGGATCTTATGTGTTCACCCAGGAAGAGCCGGAGACTTGCAATTAGGAACTGTGAACATGAGAACACAATTTTTATGGACGAAATTTTTGATTATAGTGTCCCCTCTGACCCGGATAATGATACTAACTTTATATGTGAATTATTCCCTGAATTGAAAGATGTAAATAGCAAATCATCAAATGTCAAATCTTATTGCAACAAACGTAAAGTTCATGGTACTTTTTTCAATGAAACATTTGGATTGCCGGACACTCCTATATTTTCAAACAAACCAATTAAAAGAGAAATAATTTCAGAAACTAGCCAGTTAGATGCATATATAACCAATCCAAGTGAGCTGTCTGTTTTAGATTTAACTTACATTGATCAGCCTTGGCTGGTAGCCAACCCAGAAGTAATAACCCACCATCCTAGCTTAGATGTTTTGATACCTTTTGAAGAAATCAGAGTAAAGCAATCTGCTATAATGCATAAATTTGGGAGAAATCGTCGTCATAGTGCAGATTCTGTTGATGCTAGAGAAGAACACAATTGTGTTTTTACTTGCACTCCATTTAAATGCAGAACAAGTAACATTTCAGTCATTAGCACTATCAGCTTAACAAAGAACGAGAACAAAACAGGTATATCTGCACTTACTAGTAGTTTGGAAAAAATTCTCACAGACGCTATTAAATCAGAAAGCAACATAGATAAAATTGATATGAAAATTAAGGTCATAACCTCTCCTATACCTAAAACAGAGACATTTTCAAAATTAGAAGTGTTTGACGACAATTACATTGAATTATCTCCTACATGTCAAGTGGAACCTCCTGACTACAAAATGAATGTTAAGCCCAAAACTAAACAAAATTTCTCTAGAGCTACAAACACTTCCAGAATCTTAAGATCACACTCCCAAGAGAGCAAAAAAGGTTGTGCAGAAACTCAAACTAGTACTCGAAAATATCAATCTAAAGCTCAACCTGCAAGTTTGATGTCTGAACTGCTTCAGCCGAGCTCTTTCATGCAAGGAAACAAAAACATGTTGCATTTGAGCAGGCAAAGTTCTTTAGCAGCCAGTGAAGGAAAATTTAAACAAGATTTGGGAAACCCTGGCCATAGATCTTCAGACAGGTCCTTCAATACTCAGGATACAAGCCAATTGCTTAGTGTTTGGGATAATTCAGTGTCTGAGAATAAATTTCCTTCAAAAAGGACAAAATCAAAAAAGGCACGTAGCTTGTTGGATATTGTTGATAGAAATGCAAATTTTAGTAGATCTCTTAGATTAGCTGGTCAATGTTCTACATCAGCATCAATGGATACTTATCTCTTAAAAGAAAATAGTTTCTCGCGCAGACCGTGCCATAATGTAGAGCTGCTTCAAAAAGACATAAAGCCAAAAACATCCACTCCATTTTTGGAAACATCTCTTTCCAGGGTAGAGGTAATTTACAATCATACAAAGGAAGGTGCAAGTGATGTTAGCAGCTTACCAGTAAATCAGATGGAATATGCAGACAAAAATAGAGGATTTCCGAATAAATTGGTTGCCAATTCATTTATTTCAATAGACCAGACTAGTACTTTGACTAAAAAAAGAGCAAAAAATATCGAGCCCTGCTCAAACCCCAAATTTGTTAATAGACAGGAAAGCACAACAAACAATTTGGATTCATGTAACATCAAATTGCAAAATACAGGGCCCTTGCGAAGATCTTTTCGTTCTCCGAAGTATCCTAATAAGGAAATTGATTTTGTTATGAGATCTTCTAATAAAACAACTTTCAATAACTTGGAGGTACAGACTGAAAGTAACTCAAGTGAGACAATGCATGTTTCCGCATATTCAGTGGAAACTGAAAACCTAAAGTTGAAGCCAATGGGGAAGCATGTGTTGTCTGCCAGACAGCCTTTGCCTGCAATGAATTGTCGATTTGATGGGAAGGAGTATTCCGAACTAAAGGCTACATTAACTCAGAGACCTAAGAGATTAAAAAGTCGCTCTAGGAGGAAGAACTGTCAACATTCAGAAATTGAGTTTGAAAAACACATTGAGAACACTGCTGTGATTAACAACGGTAATGCGGAGTCATCTGATTATGAATTTGCAACACTGATGGAAAAGAAAAAGCATGTGAAAAAGAATCAAAGGTTAAATGATTCTGTGCTTTCCCATAGTTCTCCAACGGTAGTCTCCAAACAAACTGATCCTGATATTATTAGTAATTCCAAGGACCTCAATGTCCTTAGTAATCAAACTCTGAAAAACATCAAAGATCAAATTGTTTCAGCTAAGTTTACCACTGGTGGACCGGTCTTGATTGCAAAAGCGAATTTAAAAAAGGAAGAGACAAACCTTCGTGAAAACGGGATTGTGAGTCAAATTAAAATAGTGATAAGTCCTATAGACATGCAAGATACTAACCGTAAAAGATTAGCTACAAAGAGTTGTATAAAGTTAAAGACTCATATTGCAGAGACTGTTGTTAAAGAAGAGGTATCCACACCAAAAGAAGATGTGATAGTATTACATACAACTGGAACAGATGGATCAAGTGGATCTTCATCTAATGATTTGAGCAGTTTATCTCTTAAAGGACAGACAATAACTCATAGGGGAACTTCAATAAAACGCTGTTCAAGTCCAGACTTTGTGAAAGGTGCAAAAGAGTTGTTGCTTTATACATTGGTTTTGATTGTTAATTGATTCATTTTCGCAGATCACAAGTACAAGAATGGATCGCTTGTGTGGGCACAATTGGGAAAGTATCCGTATTGGCCGGCATTAATTTGCAAAGATCCTGTCATGCGTGTATACCAAATGGGAGGTATTAGAAGCAGTTTTTGGTTGCACAATAAGGTATCATTCGAATTTTACTTATTGTAGGGACTGAAAATACACCGGGAAAGACACGCTACCATATAAGATTCTTTAATGATAGCGGTAGACGTGCATGGATTCCGCAGTCGCACCTTCTGCCTTATAGAAACAGCAATGACTTGGATTCACTTGTTCATGGAGCAAAGCGGGTAACTAAAATAATTCAAGGACCTAGAATTGTTTCTGGCCAAGAAATTATACTCTTAATTTTTTTAATAAACATTTTATGAATATTCAGATATACACTGCATCCACTGGGAAGTATAATATAACAGAGTATTATAATATATGATAGAATAACTGTGGCTAATGCAAATTTTGAAAATTTGAAATTATATTTATGGTTACAATATCTTCAATAAATTTAATTTTTGTTTTTATTTGATTTTTTGACCTATACTAATAATAATCGAAATTAAAAACAATTGAACAACAACAAAACCACTAAACATTATTAATGCAAAGAATCCTCTAAATAAAATTAACAAACAAAAATTAACAGTTAACCTGCACAGTGAGTGGATCATTTCAAAGAAAAACTTAATTTTATTCCATCTTTCAAACTAAGTGGTAAGTGGTAGACTTAAACATCGCGATCTCAGTAGATAGGAGATATGATGAGAATCACTAAATTAGGACAAAGCTAGTCAAAAATCAAAAAATATTTTCTTTGCTATTTTGTCACTTAGACTTTCTGATTTGACGTTTTGTCTCGACTATCATCATTAAATTTATTTCTTCTACTCTTTATTTTAAAATACCCAATTATATACTGATCCGGCACGGGCAGTATTACTTTAAGGCGGTTTGTTAAACACTGTCGCGAGTCACTTCAGGCGTTTCCAGTATTTTAGTCGCGAGTTTGGTAGCGGTCGGATATTTCGGCAGTATTTTGATGTTTGTCAGTTATGATGGTCACGTCGCACGTCACTTAGTGAATGTGTTCGTGCTTTTTACAAAAATGCACCCAAAAACAAATGAAATTTAATTTTGCTTTCATTTTGCTACAATATTTAACCTTTGGTTTTGAAACATAACAGCTAAATGTTTATCCAAAATTTTAAATAATGTTTTATTGGACCTATTATTCAGGATTCCAAATTACGTTTAGGCAGGTTTTGTCTGTTCCTATGAAATACCTCAATGATCATTCGTTAACAACAGGTACACACTAATCTTGTTGGACAAACGCTATAATGTAATATTGATAAAACAAAAATTTCTAGTGAAGACTTTTTAGATTTATGGTTTCAATAATGTATAATATATATAGATATATATATATATATATATATATATATATATATATATATATATATATATATATATATTCTCACGTATTGATTCACGGATGGAAAAATGTGATGACACTATATTCCGGGATATCATCCGTTCGCTCGTTGAACTCCGACTGGAATCCTGCATCCGACTGGAATCCTGCAAATCTTGCATCCGACTGGAATCCTGCAGACGTTTCGCCAAAATCTCACTTGGCATCTTCAATGCTCGCGCTCCGAAAACACTTCGAACACTGGATTCCAGTCGGATGCAGGATTCCAGTCGGAGTTCAACGAGCGAACGGATGATATCCCGGAATATAGTGTCATCATATATATATATATATATATATATATATATATATATATATATATATATATTAAAAATCGAATCCAATCCTGTAAGAAAATAACTCCAGAAAAAAAAAATCGTCAATTTTGGGTTTTCTATAAATATCTCCCCTAACTACTGAAAATTTAAAAAGTTTAAACCTAAATGACACATTGTTAGGTACTTTGGCCCAATTTATCTTCCTATCCCCCTGTAGTTTACGAGATCCCAAAAGTGGGGGTCCAACTGAATTACTCTGTCTACATCAGATAATTATATAGACTGTTACATTAAAAAATTAAAAAAAAATAAATATTGTATTTTAGAATAGAGTGACGCAGTTTTTAATTCTGAAAAACTATGGCATGTAATTGTATTCCTCCAAATGGGATGGATGGCTTTACTCTTGACCATATTTGATATTTTTTGTTCCACCCTGTGTAATATTGAACAAAGTAGTCTTCTGCATGAACTTTTGCAATCACTATTTTTTTATATTACGAATAGTTAAAAACATACAATTTTGTGCGAACTTAGTACACCACACTGTATATTCGCTTTCCTGTCGCACCGTGCAGTCATGTACCCCTAATAGCTAAATTCTTTTTTTTTTTTTTCACTAGGCTGAAAGCATTAAGTTCCGCATAAGACCTAACCACCTGCACAAGTGGAAAATCGCAATCGACCAAATTGAATTCTACAAAAACAAAACTTTTCGACAAGTGCATTCCTTTCTGGTAAACTCCTCAGCCAAAAAAAAACAAATGAAACAATTGTTAGAAAAAGGAACCGACACGAAAGTTGACTTTCCGCAAACTCCAGATAAGCATTTAGACATCAAATTTAAGATAGACGAAAGATCGGCTACGGAAGAACCTGTTGAAAACCGGGACGTACGTGTTTCTGTGAGTACCGATCGCAGTGTTGGCAACGTACAAGATCTTTCAGCGCAGCACGCCGATGCAGGCGAGGCGGAAATGCCGCCAGGAAAGTTCATCGAAGAAGCGCCAATTAAGAATGAAGGAAGGAAGAGTGTTTTGATCAATGTAAAATCTGAAAACTCCGATTTAGGTCTTAAAAACAGAGCCGTAAGGTCCGAAGATCCCAACAAGTACTCGTTTGAGTACCAGACAGATCTTCACAGGAAGAATAATTTATTTAATGGTCTAACAAAAGTCAAGGTAAGGCCGCTATACGAGACATTTGCAAAAAAATAAAAATCTGTGTGCTGTGGCCGTATTATATTAATAGTAAATTATGTATGACAAGGTGGTGGAATATTTTTTAAAACACATTGCCATAAAGTGTGCATACAAATTCTCCTTTAACTGAAATTATTGGATTAAAACTTTTATGTAAAAAAGTTGAAATATTCAACATGGCTTACATTTTACATGGAACATGGTTTTTCATATATTTGTAATAAAACCACTATATATTCATTTATTCATTCATTATTCAAAATGCCTTTATTGGCAATTTCCAGGACATATCACATGGTAGATAAAAACACTTCGTGGCGGCATCCAGATCTAACCACCCTTAACATCACATCATTAATAATTAAAATTTTAATTTTATTTTTTAGTCTTTATAATATGAATATTTTTTTGGTAGAGTATATTGTCTGATAAAAATTGGGAAGTTCTTACGATCAAACCCTTCTTCTTTTTGGAAACCATCATTCCTTATCCCAAAATAACAATTATAATTATTCCCAACCTAAATGTGATCAGGATTAGATAACAATCTGTGTGTATGAACCATATGACTATATAAGTTATAAGGCTATAAATACGATTGAACCTCGGACGGTTATGAGATTTTTGCCCATGAGAGAGACACCCTACGTTTCGCTACCATTTTTGTCGATATCCACACACATAACTCGTTTTTTCGTCTAAACTTTAATGATATTTGTGGATGTACTGCGGAAAAAGTGGAATCGCCAAAGTGAAAACTGGTTCATCTGCCACTGGCATATTAATTTATAATTATTGATTATTGCTTGGTACACCCCAGTTGCTTCAGCAATCGATATTTTTACTAACTGGAGAGAATGCACTACTGAATTTAGTTTGTCATTTATTTGCTATTTCTAATAATTCATGGTTGCATATTCATTGATTGTTGTTATCTGGTATTGCATAAGGAAACGGTGTTTTTTGCTAATTTTTCATTATCTATGACACTATACTAATTATGTGGATATTATCTGCCAATTTTTGGGGATTCTCATTAGAGACAGCATTTTCTTTCTCACTTGACACACCCAACACAATCTCTGACTTAACTTTTATATATTATAGTTTTTTTTTTGGTTACCGAAAATCAATTCAATGGTTTTCAAGTGACTGAGCAGAAATGAAGGTTTGATTTACCTAAGTGGTAACTAATGTACTACAAATGTGTAAGAGTTTCCTACAAGCGCAAAATATTAACATGTTGGACAAAAATGAACCTGCTTCCATTAAATGTATAAAAAATGTAACTTCATGTATATACAGACCACTCTCGTAAAGCAAAGATATTTTTTATAATAAGCGAAAACAATTTTTTTCCAATATTGAAACTGAGTCAATAGTATTTACGGCTGGTGATTTTAATATTAAAATATCACAGCCCGATATATACAAAAATTTTGTTTTCTCTTTTAAATTTTTTAAATTTCAAGTTCACAGTTTTTAGTAATACACTAATATTTTCACCAATCTTGATAACTATTGCATTGATCTTGTCCCTCCAACAACTTCATCTGCCAAATGGTTTGCACAAAGGAGAATAAAATTCAATTCTTGAAAAGTTTAAGTGAAAGGGATTGGGGATATATTTCGCTGAAAAATATATTTTATCGGTTGCTTTTTCAGAACGAACACGCTTACGAAAATGAAAAGAAAGTGCCAATATCAATACTGTGATGACAGAATGTAAAAAAGTTGAACATATTGCTGGTATTACCATTTATTCAAAACAATCTATAATCTAAATCGCGCGAAACTGTTTGAGACACAGAGATCGTCCCAATAGTGCGCATCGTACGGATTGATGCGCGACGAAAAACCGACAGAACGGGGAACGCCCCGCTGCGGGATTTGGGCGTTCCGGTATTCAACTTGGCACGCCGTTACCAAAAAGCAAACATGGATAATTCGATTGTTCGGTGAAAAAAAAAGCTTTTGTATTCAAAATTATCTCAGTACCTTAATAAAACCCAGAGGGACAATGGGGAAAGAGAAATTAACCCAAAAATAGGTGTTTATATTGTCAGATTAAAGAAAAAATTACTGCCTTTGTGTTATCTTTCACGCAATAATGCACTTGTCTTAGTTTTCTTACATTCGATATTATGATTAATAATAACAAAAGCAACAGCAGCTGTTCTAACGGAATAGAACGGCAGATACCCGTGGAACCCGCCTATAATAGATACGCACCTTTAGTTGAAAATATACTTGCTCCATGTTCTTCTTGCTGTTAATTCTAATTAATATTGCTTTTCTCTGTGCCCTATTTGATAAGCTAGTTGTGTTAATTTATTTAATTAATTAATTTTTTTTTATTTATATGATTACTTCGTTTTGCAGGGATTACACTTTCCCCATGTTTATGTAAAATTTGTAGGTAATTGACCTTTGCCATTTCGATAATTTAATTTTTTTCATTACTCTTACTTTCATAATGTATTATAACTATTGCCACATTAAACTAATTCATAGTTTACGAATCATGTCTTGGAGTATATTTAATAAGATTGTCTAGGTATACCTATGAATTGTGAATGAGTAATTTATTGTTCTCTTTCTTGATTCTGTTAGGTATGCAATTATTGTTTAAAAGAGGGGGCGATTTACAAATGCAAAGGCCAGTGTCGGGAATATTTCCACAACGCGTGCGCTGCCAAGGTGACGGAACCCCGGCCTCAGAGGGGAAGGAAACGGAAGATTTATGATGAATCTCAGGGCAACATTAAACCATCTCGGGTGATAAACACGATGCCTCATAAAAGAATTACTCGTGATCAAGTCGAAATAGTCACTGTAAAATCCAGAGTGCGTATAGCTTCGCCGAAGAAGACCGTGCCGTCGAATTTCGACGAAATGAGCTTAGGTGACCGAATTGATTACCAGATGAAGGCAATGATGAGCCCTTTTGAAAACCAAGTAATGTATATGGATTCTTCAACTGATTCTAGCTCGGAGGAGGGTTCAGTACAAGTGCCATTGAATATAAACTTTCAAACTAGGACTCCTCGAAAGACAAATGAACTGCCTAATATGTTTGATCATGACAGAGACGATAGTAATGTGGCTGGTAAGTTATTTTAGAATAGTCATTAATTTTAGTTTCCATAAATAAAAACAAGCTCTGGAGATGTTCCCTAGGAAGATGCTTTTTTATTTTAAATCCGCTTAATGCCCGAAAATTTTGCACTTGGGGCTGAAAATAATTTATATATAATGGACAAAGTTTGCTGATCACTGGAAATCAAAAAAATAAAACCAAAAAACATTAGGCACTTGCAATTGCAACAAATTCATTTTAAACGTTTTGTATTAAGGTTTGCATTTTGGAAAACTCTCTCATACAAAAATACCTTAAGAAAACACCAACACAAAATAAAAATTAGGTGCCTGGTGGTTAAATAATTAGTGTTAATTGCTTATGAATTAAGTTGCACATAATTTGTGTTGTAATCCTTCCGTTTGTGAACGTAGATCCAAGTATCCTTTCGGAAGAAATTGACCCGAAGACTAAACGAATTAAGCATGTAACTGCCGATTCGGTTATTGAAGATGTCGATGCATCCATGTTCAAATGTGGATTTTGCAAAGCAAACCGAGATCCGCCGTGTTTTATCTGCGGACTGGAGGTAAGCTAATGTAAATGGCTTTTGTAAACCGGGCATTATTATTCCTTACACGAAGACCCTACAAGACCAGCATAAGAAAGATAAGTCAGAGAGAGACGAAGTTTACAAAATAAATACTGACAAGAAAACATAACCAAAATACGTCAAAATACAGAAATACGAACAGATTAAGGTCTTGGTTAGTTTACAATATATAGTTTTTAAATAAGAGTAATTATGTAATGTTAACTCAACTAGTATTAAAAATATTGAGCTTGAGATACGCATACTAAATTAATATACTAATCGTATTGTTAGCAAGTACAGAAAGGGTATTTATTCTTCCTTTCGTTCCTTAATTTTCCTTGTTTTTTATTTATTTACTTAAGGAATACAAAAGCAAACAAAAAAAATATAAAAAAGATAGCATGATAGCGCTTATTAATTTGTCATTCTGTTTATTGGCTTGGGCACGGTTTATCAGTGCAGAGTAGATTTGTTAATTTGTTATGAATATTTTAACCAACAGCTAATATCAGCGACTAATAAATCGCACCTAAAGCCGACACTGTCTTCCCGACTAATACGCATTGGTAACCCGAAATTCGTGCTTGGTAGACCTCAAAACGGGGAATCACTCGCCGTCAGAAGTGCACACTCCATCGATGTGGAAAGTATTACCACACCCGCTGCTTAAAAATGTGGCCGCAGACGCAATGGTCGTTTAGCAAGTGGTCTCGCGACCAGAAGAACGAAGATTCATTCACATGTCCCGCCCACATTTGCCACACTTGCTTCTCTGAAGAGCTAGGTGGTGGTTGCTCGTCCCGCTTTCCCGTCGATAAGTTAGCGCGCTGCCTGAGATGTCCGGCAGCGTTTCACACGAGCAGTTTCTGCATTCCGGCCGGTACGGAGATTGTGGGCGGCAACCAGGTAAAATTATTAACTGTTATCTCGAGACGATGTCCGCCACCTGGCCCTGTCACTTCATTTAAAGAGAGTCAACACTCTCAACACACTTTGTTATGAATGAACAATAAAATGCAACACACATTTAGCGGTTAACTTAGAGACCTGTAAGATTAAACTAATGTCAATCTTTTTCTAAATTTAATCCAACGAAAGGACAGTAAGATGATAAAATAAAATGCTCTTTTTATATATTTATCGTAGAATGTTAATTAATGATATAACCATAATTTATTCTCAAGAAAGGGAGGTGAAAAAATAAAATGCTATTTTTTATTTATTTATTAATGCTTTTTAATTTCTATTAAGGAAATGTCATAAAATAAAATTTTGTTTCTATATATGTTATTTATTTTTTATCCAACTAAAGAATATCAAAGTAAAAGCTAATTTCATTTAATTCCAATAAAAACTTTACAGTGACTGAACCTGAAGTAAAATCAGAATTACTGTCATCATCAACATTAATCAGAATTGGGAGTATGTGTTCCTTTCCTATAAAATAAATGTCCTCTTTCATATGAAGTGAAGAAACCTCATCTTCTGTATGCCTGATGCAGTTTCTGGATTTACAGTGCTTAATACTCCTGTTATAATTTATATTTCGGTGCTTACTAATTTCTACAAGAATAACAGATTTAAATAATTTAAATAATTATCTCATAAAAAAACCTTAAATATTTCGCACTGCTTTTGTAAACTAAAATCAGAAAATATGTTTTTCTTCTATTGCGACTCATTCTTGAAGGTCCCAAATAGCAATTATTCGGCGATATTTTGTCAATATTGTTTTTACTATTCACTGATTCTTTGCCATTGAGGTGTCAATAATAAATATTATTGCTGCAATATTCCACATAATAAATTCTAAATTGTAAAAACAGATTTGCGTTTGTTTTTTTAATTAATAACGTTTCTTGTTTAAATCATATACACAATATGCTACACCAGACTATGTTACACAAGGTCATTTTATAAAATGTAGCAAATGTCTCTTTCTCCTTCCACAACAATGTTACTTTGTCGGCTGCCTTTAATAATCCGCCCAAACTGTGAGATTCTCCATCTTGTTCGGTATATTGCTCATTCTGAATCTTCTAAATGCTAGGTTCATGTTACATTGATCTTTGAGAAGGTCTTAAAATGTATGTAAAATTGCTCTTGCTCATTAAAATAAGAGTAAATGTTTTGTGTAAGTTATTCGATTAGAAAATTATTTTTAGATTGTATGTCCAAGACACAGAAACGGGTGTCAGCCTCTCAATACAACATGGTGCTTTATATGCTCTGAAGGCGGAAACTTAGTGTGTTGTGACATGTGTCCTACCAGCGTTCATCCAGAATGTCAACCGATCCACTTTACGGACGACGATAAAGTATTTATTTTATACTATTTTCTTTTAAAATCTTGCAACAAGATTATTTGTTTAACTCTAGTTACTTAAAGGATTTTTTTTCCAGATTCGGGTTAGCCATTTTAGATAACGAGTATACAGCGAAATGTTTCATGCTATATTTGCGGAGTCAAATTTAAAGTATCTACATTAATAAACAATATACTGATTGCTAAAAATTTTCTTGGTTCATAGCTCGCACTTCTAGTGCAACAAAACGATACGGAGACTATTAGAATCAAAAAGAGGGACCAAAAATATTTGTCCCAGAATTTCGTTTTCCGACGTGCTAATATTTTCCATCTCGTTTTAATTCTTTAAAAATCTCGGAGTAACTTTGTTCCACTTAGATATTCCTATTGACCGATGACATACGGTATATGAATGCTAATAATAACCATATCATTTAAATTCGCTCCTTTCTAGTACATCTGCGAAGATTGCGAATCCGGCAGATTTCCCCTCTACGACGAAATTATGTGGGTAAAACTGGGTTCTTACCCATGGTGGCCTGCTCTCATACTTTTTCCGAATGAGGTTCCCGAAAACGTGCGAATCCTCAAGCATCAACGGGGAGACTTTGTCGTCCGCTTTTTTGGCACCTACGACCACTATTGGGTCAGCAAAGCGCGTTCGTTCCTGTTCCAGGAAGGTGACCAGGGCGCAAGCCCAGGACAGGTTATAAGATCCAGGAAGCCGGCATATGAAACGTTCGAGAAAGCAATACAAGACGCCGCCATTGTTTACAAACTAAAAAAAGGTGTCATTCGGCATTATGCATTGACAATAGTAATCATTGCGTGTGTGATTTCAGAGTTCAAACTGCGCAGAGAAGCGGAGGGTATTGGTAGTTTGAAACCGCCTCCATACATAAAGATCAGCAAGAACAAGCCTGTGGGTAACGTCCGTGTATCGGACATGGATTTGAGCAACACCACCGCCTGCGAGTGTGATCCGAATTCGATATATCCTTGTGGCCCGGACAGCTATTGTATTAACAGGTAAGAATAAATTAAACAAGAATTTAGAATAATTAACTGAGAAAACAATCTTTTTGTAACAATAACCTGCTTCTAAAATGTTAACCACTATTATTCAGGAATACATGTAAGAAAGGTCGTTTTTCCCAAGAATTGCAGAGTTCCAGTAATATAAAATACATTACAGTAATATAATAAAATGTAAAATAAAGTTTGTGAAAAAAGTTCTTCATTTGAGAGAGATGTTTTTGCCAAATCAAAATAAAAATTGGGATTGAACACATAGTGTGATATTCCACTTTTCAATATATAGTGGGCGCCAGTGACACACTATAATCTTGCTATTTTATGCTATAACTTTGTTTTATTATTTTGTATTCAAAAATTATGATAGAGATTATTTTGTTATCATTTTAGTTAGAAAAGCTGTTATCATTTTAGATAGAGAAGCTGTTATCAATATCTGACTATTTATTATGCCTAGACGTAATAATTATTTCAGTTAAATATCAGTGATAATGGCAATATGCCTGAAAATAGTAAAGTGATAATTTTATTTTCAAAACATACATACAAATATAAAAAAAATAAATTGTTTTTGCAACCTTAAATAGATACAGAGTATTAATACAACTCTCATATTCTTGGATTAATATCAAAATTTAATATATTTTGTAATTTCAGAAGCACCAAAAAAACCAACTAACGAAAACTATTTATATTGTCTTGCTTTTATCGTTGTCAAATTAATGCAGTGGTGGATAGAACTCTTTTAATATGTACAGAACATCTAAGTTTTTTACTCTATGGGTCATATAAAATATTGACATTTTTATTCGGAGAAAAGTTGTGCCCCATAGACAAAAATGAGTAGCGAAGACAGATTTGGTCTCGGTCACATCCGTATGCTTGTACTTTTTCACCCATCTAAAATGTTCACGTAAATAAACTGATCTAGAAAAATAATCAATTGGATCTTTAACTTTTATTAGAAACTACTTCACTGTATTGTTTGTTTTAAACGCTATTATATATAAATTCCTACTCTTCGACCACTTAGCCAAGTGTAATAAAATATTACCAAAGTCAAGCATTGAAAGCTACCTTCTGGAGGTTTTCATTCTATTATGCGATAAGACAATCTGTATTTGTTGGCGAATTTGTAAAATAACTTATTGACAGAATGAAGTGTATAACCGTTGTTATTGAATGCAATTTGTCTAATCGTCGCCAATTCCTTGTTAAATGTTTTCTTACGCCTCAGCAAATGAAAACAATAATCAATAAATTTGAAGGTTATTCCGAACGAAAAATTCTTTCACCAATTCCACAATTTCTTAAACACATTCCGCCTATGTTCGAAATTTAATACATTGTTAGCACAGACATGGATACAAACGCCAGGGGCAGGTAATGGAAAATATTAGTACAAATAAATTACTGTATAGTATGATATAACAGCAATAGACATAAATTAATAAAACACTTGTGCGGACCTCTTGTTTTGTCATATTTTAATTATTGTAGCTTTGTGTATGAATTCTGCTTAGACAATGAAATCTTTAAATGATAGGGAATTTTTCATAATGCCTTATCGTTGGAGTGCTGTTTCAAAGGAGTTTTGCCCACAACGCTATGAAATATTACAATTGAATGTTACAATTCAATGCCAATTGTTGAACATAAATATGAACGCTTTTATATCTAAATATAAACAAGAGCTATTGTATTTTCAAACTTCGTTCTAAAAACTTTAAGAGTTCAATGGCTTGCATTGCCTTTTTTTAAATTTGTTTTGTACTATGGTGCCACCTACTGGTTCAGGAGAATAACTGATATAAAGGCACATGTTGCCACACCTAATTTGGTTCGACATTGTTTTTTGTAAAACCTAATATTGAAGATAAAGGTTATTATTATTTTGTTATATCCAAAAGTTCTTTCATTTAATTTGGCAATGTATTGCTGAAGATATATTATCTACAAGACCAGTAACGAAAAGTTAATTGTTTGGGTTTTCAGAGTTTAAATAGTTGGCGTTTTTTCATTTTCTTTCATTTTCATTTCCAATTTTAAGTTTATTACAAGTTTTGACTACACCTTTGACTTTTCAATATCATTGTCAGATTTTTATAAGAATTAGTGAAAAGTTAATATTTGCTATCGATTGCCTGTGAGCAAATAACCTACTTTCACTGTTCCATCTCATAGGTTGTTAATGACTGAGTGTGATCCTGACATATGTCCAGCCGCTAGCAGGTGCATGAATCAGTCGTTTGAAAAGCGCGAATATACTCCGCTAGTACCGTATAAAACGCAGGGCAGAGGCTGGGGTCTGAAGTGCTTGAAAGCTATTAAAAAAGGTCAGTTCATCATCGAATATGTGGGCGAGCTGATCGACGGCGAGGAATACCAGAGGAGGATAAAGAAGATGCATGAACAAAAGGAGGAGAACTACTATTTCATGACCATCGATAATGACAGGATAATCGACGCGGGACCAAAAGGTGAGCTGGAGCCATTTGCTGCTAGTGTGTCGCCAACCTTTGCAAACTTTTTTTTTTTGTTAAGGGAACTTGTCCAGGTTTATGAACCATTCATGCAATCCTAACTGCGAGACGCAGAAGTGGACGGTGAAGGTGAGTTTGATTCAACAGCGACTTGACGCGGTGTCACAATGGTGGAGGACCCTTTGCTTATTTCTAGGGTGATACACGGGTGGGGCTGTTCGCGATCCAGGACGTAGATATTGGTTCAGAACTGACCTTCAATTACAACCTGGAGTGCGTGGGCCAAGAGAGAAAACTATGCCAGTGCGGTGCATTGAATTGTAGCGGATTTATTGGGATCAAGGCCAAGCCCGATCCCGTAGCGACCGAAAATAACATTCGGAAGTCTAATAGAAAGAAAACAGAGTCACCAATTCCCGTCTTGCCTGCATGTTTCATTTGCGGCAAGGACAAGTCGGATCTGGCATGTCGGCACAAGAGTTGTGACAAGGCATACCATCTAGATTGTTTGGATTTGACAAATAGGACCGAAGGTAACACATTAATTTTGGTTGGAAGTGACTGTTTTTCCTTTCTCTACTTTATTTTCGACTGTCAATATTTAATTTTAAGAATGTTGATTATGTCCTGAAAAACATTTTCATTTTTAATCTGTTACATTAGTACCATCCACCACCAAAGGCGCATTTTGGATTTGTTGTGATTGTTATGTCTTATCCATTTGTTGTAATGGGCTAACAAACAACAACTAAAATATTATGTAGTACATCAGATGTTTGTTTGATTGGGAAAATAAGTTAAGAGATGATTTCTTCAGCTTCGTTATCTCTTTCGCTATCGCTTTCCCACACCATCCTCGATCAGCTGATAAGTTTATAATCTCTGTTTAGCTTGTAATTCATCAAAATCACGGTCCATCTCCATTTTTTTTTTAAATTTCAAATCACTTTTTAATCCTATATTTAAAAATATAGAAAATTAAAAACTGAGTCCTGAGGGACCCCGCTGTACAGGGTATCCAAAATAAGATTCAATAGGGGGTACTCAGAAACTACAAACGATAGCAAAAGCAGTTAAATAGAAAACTTGCATAGTTTCATCTAGATTTTTTAATTTTTATTTGTTCATTTGGTCTTCTGTTATTCTGTTTTCGAGAAATCTTAAATTTTATGTTAAAAATGACGTTTGTAAACACCAGAAAGCCCCAATTTTTTATAATTTTATCCGATTTGGCATTAAAAATTAAGGTGATTGCTATAATTTGGCTGTTAAGCAGGACAGAACCACCCACGAGTTCGGTCATTCATTTATTACATTTTATACAGACTGTATTCAGAAATCAAAAGATTAGGTCTATATAATTGTTATATTAGAAATGATAAAAATATCGCAGTAACCACAAGAAAATATCAGAAAATATCAGATGCTTCTTCAAGCATGGTATTTTAAAGTATAAGAAGAGGGATAAGGTTTGAAAGATCCTCTAACACAAGCTCTATCTCTCTCTCTCTCTCCCTCCCTTTAGCTTTAAATTACGCCATTGGCCAGTTTGGCAGTAATTCCTAAAAGTAAATAAAAGTTGCACTTCGATGAAATCTTGGTTGGGCAATAAATACAGCAATTTCTGTCGTCTAACGATGGACTTTTCCTTTACAGGCAGCCGATTCATTTGCCCGAGACACAACTGCAACATGTGCGCAAAGCGGACCATGAGGTTCTGCGTAAAATGCATAAATTCTTATTGCCCCTCTCACTCGGACGGTAACGTACGATACGACAAGTTACTGGGTTTCATCTGCAAATTTCATGATCCGGTGAGTACTTTGTTGTAAATAGTTTTCGCCTTCTCCTCTAACCTTGATTAGTTACAGAAAAACGAGGTTTCAGAGCAAAAATGAAAGTGTCTTTGTTTTAAATTAACTGTTAATAAATTGTTGTTCACAATTAATATTATTCCCAGTAAATGGCAGGTGAAATCACTATTCTTACACACAAAAGTGTGATTCCATAATCTAATAAGCCTTCTCTTCCATCTATACATTTTACTAAAATTATAATGAAATGTTTAGAAACCTGTACTAAACCAGAGAACAGGCTGCATTTAGGAGCGGTCATAGTACCACCTGTAGACAATTAAGACTCTAATTATAGACCATTTATTGATTTCCAAAAGGTTTTTTAATACTGTGTAACTCCCTGGAATATTAGCAACACTGCAAGAATGCAGAATCAACCAACTTAATACAACACATATACGCCAGTGCCACTGCAAGGGTCAGACTTCACGAAATACAGCAGTGGAGAGTACTTACGCCAGATAGGATTATATTGTGCAGCCTTTGGTGAGCTAACAGACACAGTTAAGTTTATGCGTCTGAGAAGAAATGTATTCAAGCAATGCATAATGCCTCTCATCATGTATGGTGCAGAAACAGTACACAAATTAAGAGTGGCACAAAGAGAAATGAAAAGAGCTATGCTTGAAATAACGAAAAGAGAGAGAGAATAAGGAACACAGTTATAAAACAACTAAGGTCACCAACATCATACAGTGTATCAAGCAGGCTAAGTGCAGATGGGCGTGAACGACCAATCACTGATGGATAAAAAGAATATTAGAATGTCGAGCGAGAGAGGAAACAAGGTAGACAACCAACTAGATGAAACGATGATATGATCATTGCTACTCAAAACAGAAAAAGGTGAAAAATTTTAGAGGTCTCCACCCAACAGTGGAGCTGGGGAATGATGATGGTGATAAAAAATTACCACGACTTGAAGTTTAGGGTGTAAACGCCAAACTTTCCTTAATGCCAAGATTTAAAAAAACTCGATGTTAAAGTACCAATTTTTTTCATTTGTGTAAATATGTGGTTGACCCTCCTGCTTACTTCAAAAGCCACCTTCGGTCGAGGCGAAAGCTATAGCTTATGCATCTAATATCAAATAGTAAAAGTCAGTATTTTATTTCTCAGTGGTAAGAAATTCTGTATCGAAAAGCTTTATTTAATAATTTTATAAGGAAAAAACATTGATTGATTTATGAATATCTTTATCTTCAGTGGTTCAATTTTCAAATATATATTGAAGAATTTTATTGTGCTTTCAGAAAAAGGTAATATCAGAAGCAGCAACAACCAAGAAGACCCCAAAGTTGCCCAGGACAAAACGCTTCAAAAATTCTCCAAATGATCCTGAAGCACAAGCAAGGCGGGCAGTTTCAAAACTCCCAGAAAAAAATCGGAGAGGAGTGGCCTCATAGTCAATCAAGATAACCGAAAAACTACCAGTGCTAGTAACGCTCAGCAGTTGAAGGGGACTTTTAGTAAATAGCATTTTTAAATTTAAAGATTATATTTTTTTCTTTTTTTTGATATTATATTGTTTGAATTTTTTTTTTACGAATCAAGCCTTTGCTTTGGAAAGGAAATAAAAACCGTTCAGTAATACTTCAAAACTCTTTAATTTTTCTATCAACGGTAAATGTTAACAATTAAATAGTACGTTTGAATAACTTTTATGGTTCAATAGTGGATGAATCGAAAAATTTATAAATATATAACTTAAATATATATGTATATATTTTTAAAAGATAATTCTGAATCAATAAATTATTTTACAATAGTGCGACTGTATGTACAAGTTTGAAATTATGAACAATATTTAACATCCCTTATGGTTCATTAATCTGTTTTGGTAACGAAATCAATAACAGGAATTTGGTAAACCTTTTTATTCACATCTGTCTCTTCTAAAGTTCCATTAATTCCCAAGTTAAACTTGAAATTCGTAATTACTACCTGTAAAACTAGAATTATTTTTTTGCTAAGCAAGTTTCGCTACTATTTGAATGGAGCCCAACTCAGCGCAATTGTCAGCAGCTGAATTTACACTTGAAGTGTTAGCATTTTTTACTTTCCGACTTTAATAATGCAACTCTAAATTTAAGGTACACAAAAGGATCAGATTTAGTATTAATATTACAAACCCGAAAAGACGGAGTTCTCCTAATTTCTCAAGGCGTTTCCAAATTCGTGTAGTCCAAGCTCTAACTCGATTTAAGACTCTATTTCGATGTTTTTCACATGGACTGAAATATTTGTTCAGGTCCCAAAATAAGAAACAATATTGTGCAAAAGTTCCCCTGTTATTCAAATCGTTATTTGGAAAAGCTAATAATAAATTAAAAAAAGAAAAACAACACAGTGACCGTAAACAACTTGCTTAACATCTGCTGGAAAAAATCTATGTCAAATTAAGCAGGAATGATTACGGTAAAATAGGCTAACTCGTCCTATGTGACCTTGCACACAAGCTAGTTTCTAGTTAAAAATATCGTTAACGAGTTTGGAACAACGCCCCAGTGATGTATGGTAAAACAAATACACTTATAAGTTGTTTCTCTCAAGTACAGAGTAAAAAAAAGTGAAATTATGCAAATAACTCAAATATAAATTCCAAGTACAACACAATAACGACTTATGACTTTTGACTAATTCAACCATCCCCATGATGAACCATAAATCTTAAAACCCTGACCTATAAACATACCTAATCGCATATACTTCTAATAAAATAAATTAGTTCTCTATCATAACTAATAATGCATACAATTAAAGCTTCGATGTTGCAACTCCGAAATGTGAGATATCATTGGCACTTTGATATCAAACCTGAAGTATATATATAAGAATATTATATATTTATAATATATTTTGTTTTTGATAGTCCACATAAGTCGCATAAATTTTTAATTAACTCTTCCATAATCATTTGTAAGTTGATATTGGTAGCGCTTGCTGGAAATTTATATAATTCCCCGTGCAATGATCTAAATATGTAACATTTTTTTAGCTGCCACAACTCCGAAATGCCCATTTCGTTGCATTCCCCAATTGCCGCCTTTAGCAGAATTAAAGATTCACCTTTCTAACCCTGCAACTCATATTTGAATTTATTCGTCCGCATAAAGAAAGTAGTCTAGGGCTGTATATAATATTTAATTTTATTTAAAATGAGCAAAAGAAAAAATAGCGATCGGGACATATCACTCAGAAACAATTATAATTAATACAATACAAATCCACAAATTTAATAAACTATTGAAGAAGTGGAATAATACCCAAGTTGGAGATGCTTATGTTTAATGGTTCTCAATGGCAAATTAATGTTAAATTGGATTTTGTGAGCGACTTTTCCCGCTTAATCTGCAATTCAGAAGTACAACATGTAAGAGCACAAGAAAATTCATTGGAGCGTTTCATATAGCATTATTGGCTGGTGTAGATGTTTTACCTCACAGGCTGGCGCTCGGCAAAACAAAAAATATTTGCGTAATTAAGATAAGGAAAAATATCAGTATATCGAACGAAGGCAAACGAATCGAGACTTTATTGCTAAATCCTTGAACCCTACGATAGTAAATCCCTTTGCATAAATGGGAACAAGTTTAGGTACTATGTCATCACTACTACAGTGCGGGCGGCGGCGGTGGCGGCGATGAGGACGGCTTTTTGGCCGCCTGCCTCGTGCCCACCGCGACCCGCTGCTACTCGCAGTCGGTGTCCCCCTCGCTGGAATAGTCCTGAATGGGAACAGGCCTGAAGAAAGGCGCCGAGGTCATCTGCCTGGACAAAAATTGATGAGGTGGCTAGTTTTGGTTAACACATTTTGTTGAGTAAAACAAAAACTATTGTAACCAGTCGCAAGATATTTAAGGGCACCCAGGTAAGTTAGGTGCTATATTAACATTTGCAACTGCAATATTAAATTATACTGAAAAACCAAATACCGAATGTCATTTATAGCCCAACTTGAAAGGTCTTTTAATAGTCATCTGAAACATCAAGCGCAGATTACGAGTCGCTGATAACAGAAGCCTGTATCATTTAACGCTACAACCCTGACCTGAATACAATTTTTTTCCAAATAACCCTGACTTCCATCAATCAATTTATAATGAAAAGGGATGTTCATTTTTGTCTCTCCAACGCTTTCTGAGGTATCCGATTGATCTGTGGGGATCTCCTCCCACACCAATTTTACGAGTCGCTGGTCGGCCAGATTTTGTACGTGTCCTGCCCATGGCTGCCAATTAACCTCTTGGACAATGCTGAACCTCCGCATTAGTTCTAATATGATAATGGTTGGTGGTCGGAACATGTTAGGGTACAAAAAAAATCTTTCTGAGGATTTTTCGTTCAAAACGTGTGAGTTTCTACAAGTTATTTATATGTTATATATGTTCGACTATAGTTTTATACACTTTTATTTTTGAAGTCCTTTCACTTTCCGATTTCATAAGGCTACTGAGTGCAAATAGACAGCAACTTGCAGACTGGATTCTAATTTTGATTTTTTCAGTACTGTCGTTGTCTGCTCTGTAATTGTGACACCAAGGTATTTTCACATTGTAAACACAACAATTTTATTTTTATTGTTCAATTTGCTATTTACACCACATATGCAATACAGAAAATATAAACCAGCTGCAGTCATTCATAAACAAAACAACAAAATTTGCAGCGAGACAAACTGGCTGACAGAGTGTATATATAGAGCAACATCGATGTTTGTATTAGCCTCCTCATCAACCATGATCAATAAAGGCCCTCAATATACAACAAATTACCTTCAAGCTAGCGCACATACTATGGAATATCCCAAAAAGAAACAACAACTTACACAAGACGCCTATAATGATTTAACCACTCCTCACACATCTGCGCCACAAGCAATGGACGTTTGTGCCACGACTGTTGAGCCACGAGAATCCCATTTTCCGTTTCACTCACGTCCATCCATTGGTGCAAAATAGCCTCCTCCCTTCCCAACTAAAAATTGTCCTCTGTCAGGAACAATTCACTGATCAAAATGAACAACTTCAACTTACCTCCGCCTCGGTCAAAAAATGTATGGGTAAAGGCTTCCTGTCGCGGTCAACGAGCGGCAACAAAGACGCCCTGGGCCTTGCAGAAAGTAAAGGTTCTACCGGCACCAAAGCAGAAAAGTGACCCCGAGTATATCCCAAGGCTATGGGGCAACGAGTGCAAAAACTATGGTCCCAGAGCAAGGGCAAGTAAACACCTTCAAAACGGGCTGGACCTAAGGCTTCTCCCCTGAAACTTTTTACAATCTGCAAAGAATAAAAACTGTAGCATATTATTGACTAAGTATCACAAGACACACCTTCACTCCATATACTATAATGGGCCGCCTCAGAATATGGGCAAGGGCGAAAATGTGGAGTTGTTCTAAACTCGCCCCTGGCTGAGCGGCTATTGTGACTAGACTGCTCCAATCTTCTTCCCACTGCGTCTCTTCTAGAGAGTATTGAAGGAACGATGCGTGAGAGGATTCATATTCCTTCCAACGGGGATAAAATCTAATAGCAATTCAACATTCTAATTACAGATGTATAATGTATTTGCTTTAACATGATAAATTTGTGTGATTTTATGAAGTTAATTTATTGTCACAATACAATAAGATGAACTTACAGAAGTCAATTAATAGATATCAGTATCAATCAAACATTAATTGTTACGTAAGCGATTTCTGTTAAAATTGTCTTAACTGTCGTCGTTGACACTGGCCCAATTACAAGTAATACATTAACAGAATACTGAAGTTTTTCATATCTAACCATAATTCTCACCGCCTTTAGTTGTAATCGAAAGATATGAAAGATAAGACAAAATATGGCTCACAAGTCGATTAAAGTTTGGGGTAACATTTTAAGCAGATAATATCGCTCGATACTGCGCAATTTCCGGAAATCCACTTACAAGTGTTCAAATGTTTAAATGTTTCATGAAAGTTGTCACGTAAAACAAATTGAAAGTCCTGAATATTTTGACTGCTCCTGGCTTATACGTGTATGGGAGTTGTTCAACAAAATTGTGACCAATAGCTATTAGATAAAATAGTGGCGCTACTACGATAAAAATTGATGAGCTTCAGGTGCCTGTGACATTTTTCCGAAAAAGAAAATCTTCCGCGCATGCCTCTACATTTCACCCACTAATCTGCATTTAGCACCATGTTCTTTCTAAACAGCGATATCATGGTCATAGTTGCCGTAAAAATGCCGCATTCAAACTTATTGACGCTCTGTCAGCAGACATATTGGTTGTTGTATGACGCAAGTTATTGGTTAAAAAGAGAATTTTAATCTCACGCATGCGAATGTCGAATGAACCTTCTCAATTTTTTTTATAGCTGCTTCAGAAATTTCTGTATTATCAGCATATAAATAACTTCTATATCTCCAGTAGCTAGAATGTGAGTGTAATAAAAATAATAATAAATTTAGTCCATAGGCGACATGATTTCAGTTTAAAAAAGGAAAAAGGCATCACTCTGGTACGAGAAAATGTCATTTGTCAGTCTTTGTTTTATTTTTATTTATAAAAAACTTAAAAATCTCGCTTTAATGGTTTGTTAGGTTTCATATTTTTACCCAACTTTGTTGCAAAATTGAGGCAATTAATGAAATTGATTTGCAAAACAACTTTGTTCTTATTTGGCATCATTTTCCAATGCTGGTAGAAACTGTTAAAAATACTATACTGTGTGAATCATAAACATGTCAATTATAGTTAAAATTCATTGATATATTAATAAAATTAAGGTGACTTCTTGTTTCAATATTGAAACTTAATGGAAATTGGTTAGTTAACCTGTTATTTTATTGCCATTCAAAATGCAAAAGCAACTTCACAAATTAAAACTTTGGGTGTGTAAATTAAACTTTAAAACTAAGTAAACAAGTTAGTAGAAGAATACTTATTATTCAATACAGTGTACTATCTCAACCAAGAAAACCAAATAATGGATCAGAAGATCTAGTACTAATTTAAGAATTTCCTTTGTGTATTGCACTAGCCTTGACTGGTCTGGGTAATGATTGATAAGCTTGTACAGCTCTATAAAAACCACTTTCGAAGAAACTTGCAACCGATACGACGTGGATATGTTTTGGCAGTGGTTTACGCAAGGTAATTGGCTGAAGAGCTATACCAACTTAGTCTTTTGTTAACCTTAAATACTGGATTTGGAGTTAAAGGCGCCAGCTTCTATTACACTGCATTGCTACCTATTTATATAGTGACGTTTTCGTGGTTGCCGCATATGCCCCTAAATTTCCCACCCTAACCTGCACTTTGTGTCGTTCTATTTCTATGCGGCAATCTTCACACACTTAACTCGTTCATTCCTAAACATTTCACGGGATCTAGTCATATTTTGAGTAAATTAACGAATTGTTAGCGGTCATGTTCGTGGTTGAATGCAACTCGGTTTTACGGTTAGGTTGAAAGCGAGATTTGAAGTGACAGGTCCTACTCGTAGAAAAAAAGATTTAATGGATCTTCTCAACTTTTTTTTGCATGGTAGCTTCATAAGTTCCAGTATTATCAGCACATGGCCTCTATATATATCTAGTAGCTATACGAAGTTGATAATTAATAAATAATTAGAAACATAAATATCCCTAAATGTACTCAAGAATACCATCAGAATGTAATTAAAATTAAAATTTACAAAAATTTTATAACATGCCAAAACGAGAATTGTGCAAGTTGTAACAATGCAAAGAAAAATATATTCTGCGAACATTTTGTTGACTTACATGTGGCCTGCGTGCATTAGAGTCTCTGCAAGCGCCCTCCTCAGCACATTCTCTCTATCAAACACGCCCCAGGTGGCTTGCATAACACTATCTAATAAACAATCGCCTGCCGACCGATTCCACAGGGCGTGCAAACGCGATGACCCGCCCGGGCCGGTGGCCCAATTAATGACAGCCACATCCGCCCCTTCCAACTCTTCTTGCACATCCTTGTCCAAAAGTTCAGACATAAGCTGTTCTTGAATGGTCAGAGGCAACGTGTCCACCTCCGCCGGCAAAGTGAAATTGGGAAACTCGGCAACGTAGTGACAAGGAAACGAACCCTTTCGCTGCCTTAGGGTGGTGGCAAAATGTCTCCTAATGTCTGCGGCTATGTCGGGGGCCACGTAGCTCGGAACTCGCTTTGCTCCTGAACCAGAACCCTCTATTTGCGACAAGAGGACAGCTAACAAATCTTCTCGCTGAAATCTAGAGGACAAGGTTCACAGTAGTGGATAAGCGTGATTTTATTCGATTAAAAATGACCTTATAGCTAAGTGAACTAAAGTGTGGCCAACATCAAAAGCTGAATTCCTATTTAAAAGGACGCATTCTGATGCGGTAAGGGTACGTGCCGGATCGCCGCCTGAAGATAGGTAAGCTTCTACTGGATTTGGATCACCTTCAATTACTCCCACACATGCATTTAACCAATTCCAGTCTGCGTTTCTTCTCAAGTGTCTCAGCTTATGGTCGGTTTCTAGGTTGTTTTGGGAGGTTTCTGAATACAATATGTAAAAAATACAAATTAATGACTCGCCTCCATGTAAAAAAAACTTAATTTTAATATTAATGCTGACAATTCTTAATTATTTTTTCTCATAGCGATAAAGATGATTATTGGATTCTTTTAATCAGATAAGTTTACTAATGTAATGCATCAAGTTCCGATTCCTTAATAGTGCAGATTGAATTAAATATATTATTGTAATTTGTAACCATAAAGTTCTTGTTTGTAATAACATGGACAGTCCAACACTGCTTCACCAATTATGTGGCGGTAGAGTGCAGATCAAATTAGTAGCTCTAGAAATATCAAACTGACAGTTGATATATTTCATATGTTGTAAAAAAGCTGTTAAAATAGCAGCAATTTTTTGTAAACTAAACAAATTGCTACGTCTATATCCATTGAAATAAATAAATAAATAATATTATTAGATGATTCTAATTTGTATTAAGTCAAAAATTGAACAAACATTCAAAACAAACTAAAAATAAAATACCGATAATGGAATTCTGGTATCGGTCATCTTGATTAATATTGTCTAAATTTCGCTCCGGTGAGGACATGATGAGCCCGCAGGATTGTGGTCGTTGATTATTGACAGTTGCGCACATAGCGCACTTCGTCGACTTGGGCCAGTTTTCGTACGTACACATCTAAAAGATATTCAGAATTTAGTAATATCAAACAAAGAACTGCATTTACAAAATAAATGACCATGGAAAAAGAGAAAAGAACAACTGCTTAGACTGCAGTATGTACTTATTCTTTTTTATTTCCTAAAAATAAGTTTTTAACCAGTCATCTGTTGAATAGATGTGTATTAAAGTATTTTACAGATACTTAAAAGGCACATTAAAATGTTTGTGGTGCCTAATTAGCACTACCCCTTGGGTAAGGTGTAATAGTTCTTATTCTGCTAAAATATAAATATAATTAATATATAGGTATTACAGGTCGCAGCCTATTAAAGAAACTAATAACATAATTCAATGAGTACAATCAGAAGACAAGAAGAAAAACAAATATTGTTCATTGTCAATAAAGCACCATTAGTTTAATAAAATCTTGTATGTAGTTGCTAACTACTAATTAATAAGTACACTAATTTCAAAAAATAAAACTCCCTCTATCCTCTATTCGGATTAGCAAATATCACACATTTTATTAATATTACGTTAATTTTAACGCTTATTAAAGCATTTTATATTATTTATTGGTTCCTCGGGATTTAAGGATGCCCTAAAAACTTTATAATGGACATGAAGTATTTGTCAAAAAAAACCTTCAGTATCGACTAACAATACCACCTGTAGAATTTTGTACCCCCTACTAAACCTAAAAAGGTTTATATTTTATTTGAGAAAGAAATCAAAATATAATTTTCAGCGGCTACAAAACATCTGCTGTTTTCAATTTCCAAGGTTAATAACTAGTATATTAAACAAGCAACTATAAACAATACTTTACCCATGAATTTAATGTGTTTAATAACGAGTTGAGGAATAAGTTTATAAAAGTGCTGCATACTACACCCACGGCTAATGAGTGCACTATTTTAGAGAAGTTTATCAACATATATAGGATATAATTACCATTAATTTTTGGGATCATATTTGCAAGTACCATAATAATGACTGAGTGAAGTCTGACGCGACATCACTATCAAACTTCACAAACATCAAAATACCATCAGCGAAAAGAAATACAGAAACCTGCAACCTAATACAGCCTGTCAAAAAGTGTAAAGACATCAAAGTACCCAAATTAAAATTATAAAAACAACTAAATCTTGTTATAATCTGGTTCAATTTTCTAAAATATAGGTGAAATCATATCAAATTTGAAAAAGTTTCCTTTGTTGTATGTTTCTTAGATAATTAGGTTTAGTTTTCCCTTCGGTGTCAAATTGATTTGGTGTCTCACTTTCACTTCATTTTAATAATGATTTTAAGCAATTAATGGGGGTTGCCAAGGTATATATAAAAATAATAATAAAATAAAAACAATAAAACCTTTATGCTCAGTTAAAAAAAAACTCTAGTTTTTTTATTGGATATAAACACCAAACACCACGCGCTTGGTGTTTGGTCTTGTCATTGATCTGTTTGGAATTATTTATATGTAACTCCATACATGTCACACACATCTTACTACGTGATATTTTCCGGTTACAGTAAATGTAAAGTGACCAGAGTACACAAAATAAACACCAAAAATGTTTTCCTAGTTATTGTTTAAACAGATTCTTGGATTATATTTGTATTATTGGTACTAAATTTATAACAGAACTGTGAGCAAGAAAAAGAAAAAATTCAACATCGTTGAAAAACAAAGCAAACTGACAACAATGAATTTATCATACACACCTGACAAATCCATTTTGACTGAGATGTTTTTCGTGAATTTTCTAAATTAATTAAAGCTGAAGATTGGCTGGAATTTCTCACACTTTGGGTTAAATCCGTGTTAGAGATTCTAGGGTGCTGCATGTGCTCTTGTATATTATTTTCAGACAGCGGATTGCAAATTAAACATGAAGTACAGGTATTCACATAAGCACAACTGTTACAGTGGCACTTAGCTTTTGATTTGTTGTCAATTGAACCACCCGCATCCACAGGCTGAGCAGTTTTATCTCCATGTATACGGTATATGTTGTCGAATGGTTTGGGACCTCTACACATAGTGCACTTTATAGCGGAAGGGTAGTTTTCATAAGTGCAATATTCACAAGCCCATTTTTTGTCGCTTTCACTCATTTTCAAGATATTGTGCTATCCTGAGTTTCCTTGTACTAATTTGTGTCATGAGAACTTCATGATAGGGATTGATTGAAACTAAACTGAACTAATTTAATCCATACAGCATTCTATTACCTGAAAATAATTGTTTCATCAGTATTGTTTGCATCAACAATATTTTGGCAACATATTTCAATGAGCAAGTAGGTAGCAATGCCAATGTCACCCAAACTTTATAGACACATCTCCGTCGTCCAACAAAAGTAAGGAAAACATCCAAGTTTACATAATGAATATAATAAAAACACTGCACATGAGACCCTCATGTGTTTATTGAAATTTCTCTCACCTTCAGAATTAAGGTCAGGAAAAACGTTATTGTGATAGAAGGCACCGCGGTTTCCCGTGTAATATTGGAAACGATTAATTTAGATACCATTGGTATGCCCAGCGAAACTATTTTCCGTTGGCAATTCGATGCAAAATACGGGACGTCAAAATATTTCCAAAATTTCATGACATTTTTTTGGTAGGAAAGCCAGACCGCTGTGCATTCCTTCATACACATAACATAGCTCACACCTTGAAGTAATTGAAAGGTAAATGGTCAAGTGACCTCGATAGTTTCAGAATTGACAAACTTGTCATCTGTGACTGAGTGCATTTCTATGGTTTATGGTTAATATGTCATTAAATATTCCAATTAACATTTTTATGTTTGTTGGGAAGTATTGAGAATGATTTAATTAATAACAACTGGATAAATCTTATACATTGGATATCCCTGGTAAAGCACCCAAGTTTCACATTTAATTAAGCGTTTGGGATCAAAGAAAATGAATTCTGTTGAAGATTTGAATTGTAACATTGTTGTATTGAGAAGTAAAGCAAGGAACTTAATTTCATCTTTGTTAAATCCCGTAAAGCTAATACGCACAGAAAAAGGATTACCAAGGTACTTAATTTATGACCGTTATTTATCAGAGAAAGTGCATAATTAAGTCCCCTTGTTACTAGGGATTGGGAAGGTTTGGCTCAATTATGTGGAATACCTGGGGAGCTGATGCCTAGTTTGCAAAATGATATGGATCCAGCGGGAAAAGTATTACGATTGTGGAGCGAGAATTCCAAAGATGCAGCAACTATTGCAAAGTTGTTTGAATTTCTAGAAGAGCTTGGTCGGTATGATGTTTTGGATGATGTAACTCCTTTTGTTGGTAAGTTGTGGTTTGATAAGAATTGTTTCAAATTTTATAATGCTGGCATATAGGAGAGGACCTTAAATACCACCAAGAACACCCTCCAAATGGACTAGGAATCCAATCATTTGATTTAGAAGCTGACAAGTGCATTTTAACTCGGGACGATGTGATTCGTCTCAATCAAGGTTTAGAACCTCAAACATATGATGCGTTTGTGTTATTTGATGATGATGATATTGATTTTGCCACTGAGCTTATTGACACGATGGAAAAACAATATAATATGAAATTTTGCGTCAAGGAGCGGGACTTGGTTGTAGGCAAATGCGAACATGACGCTGTAATCAAATTAATTTCAGAAAGGTGTGGCAGGCTAATTGTCATTGTTTCTGCAGCCTTTTTCAACAGTAATGCAAACACTTTCTTCTACAGTGTGGCACAGTCAATTGGTATAGGTAAGAAAAGTTATTTATAAATTTACTTTGGACTATTGATTAACCTAAATACACGCAGGAAACACTACGAAAATAAGAAATGTCTCTAATGTGGAGAGTGTTGTTACTGATAGATGGGTCCAAGTTTTGGTTTATCGCCTTAATTTTTTTTTTATAATTTTGACCTGGATTTAAATTTCTTTTATTTAAAGCTTATTGTCTGTGATCTAAATTTAGCATAACATTTACAGCAAAAAATAAATTCTGTATCTATTGTATATCCCCTATCGCACTTTCTCCTGTTCATTCCATGGGTCTTACCATACAAAGTTCAATTTGCCTTGGAACTTTGCCAGAGTTCCATAAAGGATTTGTTAATATATATAATAATATATATTAATTATATATTACATTTATTCCAGAGATTTGAGTAACATTGCTGCTTAAAGGTACTCAACATACTTTCTTGGAAAACTTTATCATCATAGTGGGAAAATCATTGAAATTTTTATACAAGGTAGGAATTTTGTTCATACCAAAACCCCACATTACCAACAGAAAAGCCACTAAAATTAATTGTAAATATTAGAAGATGATTGATAATTGTTATTAATTTTGAGAGAAATGACAAATTGATTGATAATGATGGATAATATTTTTTAAATAGGGGTAAAATTGCAACACCCGAAATTTTCAACTAAGTGTTGTTATTATGAGGAATTCATGACTAGAATCGCTAATCAAAGTAAATGTTTGAATTGAGTTTGAAATTAATATTTTCTATTGCTTTTTTGATGTCTGTTTTAGAGCAAGGATTGCGAAAAATTATTCCATGCATATACAAAGACTGCGGACCTCTACCAGCAAGAATCAGTCATTATTCTAAGTTGGATTTTAGACGAAGAGAACCCTTTTTTAATTCCTGGGAGAAACTGCATGACTCTTTAATGATACCACAGAGCTGTCACAAACTGGCAGTTAATACAAGGTTTGTTATCATTTATTCCATTATTTTGTTAAAGGTTGCATATATTTAGGTGTCAGGCGAGAACCCTTACAACCAAAGCTTCCCTCACTGATTTAAAAGCAAGTATCCCCATAGTTAGGTATGGACAGTGCAGTTTCGGTATTTTGTTTACATTTTCTGAAAACATATGATTATAGGTCTGTGTCAAATCCAAGTCGTTCCCCTGATAGCAAAAATTCACTTAAGCCTGCTCTTCATAAGAGCGGCAATACCAATGAAAATCATGCGAAAACAACGCATGTAAAATTTAGCAGCAGCATGAGCAATTTACCGCAAACCCAAGTGCCTGAAGATAAACTAATACCTTCAACGAGTTCCAACAATTTGGGCAATACTGCAGAGAAACAAGTGAAGAAAAGCACATCTTTTTATAAGAAAATTATAAAGTGAGTTTTCTTTTTTATTATTTTACTTTTAATTTAAGACATTGAACATATTTTTTTGCATTTTTTCATATATCTGTAAAACTACTAATGGACTACTATTGTAAACAATTTGAACTTTCTAAATGGTTTATTGTTAAGTATAAAAATGCAAATCTGTTCTGTAATTTAACTGACCCAATTGGTTTTATCATTAGAGTACTAACCATTTAAGAAGGTGCCAAAAATGTGGTTTCTGACATAGTCTTTATAGTTTATATATATTTATTCATTTATATATATTCAATATTCCCATATTCCCTATACACCAAAATAACATGTCGGATGAGCATGCATTCTATAATGTTGTAAACTATTCTAGGATAGTGTCAAGTGCTTATGTAGGAAGGAAAATAAGTACAACCTTAAAATTTATTAACAGTTTGTGACGCCTGTTTCAGCAAAATAGTTTATTTATTAAATGTGGTTGTAACAATCTAATAGTAAGCACATTATTTATGAGAATGGTATTTTATTAAAATAAATATAAACAGTACCAAGGAGGAAGTAACTTGTATGGTCTATTTCTTTCTATTCCGGTTAATATTGATATATGGGATAATAGTTCGTTAACATATAGAACTGATATTGCTAGTTTATATAAAAGAATTTGCCTTTATATAAACCCTGATTGGATAAATCTAGGTATAGCATAAACGATTTTGAACGAAAGGTCTTCAATAAACTACCAAATAATGTTAAACAAATAGAATAAAAAACTTTCTAAAAAAATAAAACTGTTCTGAATCTGTTGGTGATTTCCTAAACAGTGAAATAAAGTATTTTGATTTTTAAATCATTGCACATTGACCTACTTATATTACTTGCCAACCTTATATATTACTTACCTTCTTATTATATTGGTTGCATATTTAAATGTGATTAATGGATATTAACTTATAAACTTTAAAATAATTAAAAAATATGGACCCGTGTAAATTACCAATTAGTGTAGGTGGTAGTGGGCTATTATCTCAGTCAGGAACAAGTTGACCATTTCAATTGATATGTTATTTATGATTGTCATGGCTTGACATGACATGACTGCCATAGCTTGGGAGTGTGTTGCTTTGGTGATTTCAAGTTCTTATTCTTAAGGTGCCTATTCATTTCGAATGCTGGCTATTAGCATGGCTATTCTAATCTTGTCGACTGCTGCTTTGAAAAGTCGTGTGGTTGTAAGAGAGAACCACTTTCTCAGATTGTGGAGACATGAGATTCTCCTCCGTCCTGGGCCTCTTTTTCCAAAGACCTTACCCTGCAGAATAAGCTGCAACAGACTGTATCCCTGTTTTCCGCTTCTCTTTGTTGTTTATGATTTCGCATTCCTTGTCCATATCTCAAAAGCCTCTAGTTTCTTCAACTCCGTAAAGGAGAAGTGTAAACACGTAGCATCGGAGCAGACGAATTTTAGTTTTTAGTGCTAGAGAGTAACTTTTAAAAATGTTGTTCATTTTGGTAAATGCTGATCTGGCCTTTTCTATCTTCTGTCTGATTTCAACTGATTGATCCCATCTGTCATTAACATTCGTTCCAAGGTAAACGTAGCTTGCTGATAACCATATATTTCGTTTTTTTTTTTTAATGTTAAAGTCAATGCCATACTCTTTGCTGGAGTCTGCGATACGTGTAATTAGCGCCTGCAGTATAGTATCATCTGCGTACCTGATGTTATTCAACCGCTCACCGTTTATGAATATTCCCTCATCACATGTAAATAAATGCACAGCCACAGTTGACGTCGTTTGTGTTTCAGCTTCGGTTCAAAGTTGCCAAAGCCGAAGGTTAAATGCGAGGAGGCCTCACCAAAGACCGTAGAAGAAAATACGCCAGAGAAGAAGCAGAAAAAAGAAAAAGAAAAGAAATGGTTCACTCTGAAAAATCACAAGAGGAAAGTGGCACTAATGGTGGAGACTTGACGAACAGAAATATTGGTTACCTAGTTATTAAAATTTATTGAAATGATTCTAGGGATTCCTTCTAGTAACATATGTGATTTGGCCGTTATCGAAATACCACTTTTAGCGACGCAATTCTAGAGTCATCCGTATCAGTGCCAACTTATAAAAAAAGATTTTCCACATATCTTGTTTAATGAGTGCCACCGCGTCATGTCACGCATAGAATGCGATACATATTTTTATAAATATTTATTTTTAAAGTAAACGAAACGCAATTCCAAGGTCTACCTCCATTTTTTCTTGTTAATATCAATTAGTTAATTCATTTAGTTGTGCAATTATTTTTTTTTGCAAAGTATAACTTTTATTATATAAAGGTTAACAATGAATGTGTTTGGTTGTTAATACAACTGTATTGTTATTTTGTATATAAATAAAAAAACCATTATTTAAGTGTCAAAAGTGGTTGTATTATTGAATTGTTCAAGCTGTTGGAGAGTGTACCCTAGTATGCATATTGCACTTTATATATATATATATATATATATATATATATATATATATATATATATATATAATCTCACTTGGCATCTTTAATGCTCGCGCTCCGAAAACCAGTATGCACTACAGCCCATAGGCAGGTTCCTATGTCAAAAATTCAGAATATTTCACTCTAAGCATTCCAGTAGAGGAGTCACTCCTGCTTATAGAAGAAAACGAAGATCTTGCTTACTTTATTTACAACGGGAAAATATACAGACAAGTAGATGGAGCAGCAATGGGATCATCTCTCTCACCTGTGATTGCAAACCTCTTCATGATTTACTTCGAAAAGAAAGCATTAGAGAAGGCAAGTCTGAAGCCAAAACTATGGACAAGATACGTTGATAACGTATTATTTGTTGTGTGGCCTTTTGCCAAGGAGGAACTTGAAATTCGTCGAATATCTGAATTCCATTCATCCAAGGATTCAATTCACAACTGAACTTAAAGACGATAACAGTCTACCCTTTCTAGATGTGCGCATCGCAAGTACCGAAGATGGACACTTGGAACACACTGTCTATAGGACACCCACACACACCAATAGATATCTGAACGCTAAGTCTCATCATCACCCATCACAGATACACGCAGGCAGGCTCACAAACGAGAAGAACAGAGATGACGAACTAAAAAAAATTAGAACGTATCTTCATCAAAACGGATACCAAAGGTGCATCATCAGCAAAGCAATCGGCAAACAACAGCCGCAACAGAGAGTGCAGTACGAGACCATACGAAGATCGATCGCTGTCCTGCCATCAAGGGGGTTACTGACAAAATCGGCCGAATATTAAGGAAACACCAGATATGAACGGCATACAAACCTGATCATACCATTGGATCAATATTAACAAACCCAAAGCAAAAAATTACTCTAGAAAACCAAGGAGTATACAGTGTACCATCCGGATCGTGCAGCCTGACGTACGTGAGACAGACCAATAGAAGGATTTCAGCCAGGCTCGAGGAACATCTCTGTCTCGCTGACGTTTTGCCGAGCATGATGCTACTTCTTCAGGGTGCTGTCTGAAACGATGTTACTTAATTCCTATAGTAATACATTTGACTATATTAGAGTCTATTTTTGGTATCACAAAGGATGGAAAATTATAGCAAGACAAGTTTAGTTAGCAATTTTCTTTTGAAATTTCAAAACAATTACTGGGTTATATAAATATTGTTGGAGGAATCATAATATAGAAAATATTTATTTACTATTTATAAAACTTGCTGACATTTCGCCATTCATCTTGTTGCCTTTTTCAGAGCTTAACTGAAACTTATTTGCTTTCTATTCTGCCATTGCTGACATGAACATTGCCTCGCATGGCTCATTCCTATATTGGTGAAAGGAGAATACCTGAGTTGCAGTTCTTTGGTAGGAGAATTGATTACAAGCAAGAATTTGTCGTAGTAAGAAGGCTCTTTCATGTTTGTTTAGTCGAATTGATATTTATCTTCCTGTTCGTATCATTTTTTCTACAACCATTAATTTTTGGGAACATTTTACATTTCACATTCATTACCCACGATCACTAGCCACTTCAGACGTTTCCGGTAATTTAGTCACGGGTTTGTGAGCGCTCGATAGATGTTAGAGATTTTATTTTGACATTTATCGGTTCTGTCGCTGTTTTGCGAAAATGTACCCAAAAGTAAATGATCCCCTCGGACTGGTGCCGTAACTGTTGATTTGTTGGCACAAACCTATTAACATTATTTTCAATAAATTTTAATTTACCATTCCTACAAGAAAACGTTAGCTAAAACTAGTTTATTTATGTTTTGTGTAATTGAATTAGGGTAACCAGAATAGAAATATTTAAATAAGCCATAAAAGGTTACTTATCATAGTTTACTAAAGCGATCTCCGCTCGTCAAGCGAAATCCTAGTAAAACCGAAAGATGAACTCGATTATCGAGATATCGAAACAAATATATGGATCTTATAACTAATGAAATGAAGCGGAAGCGGACATTGTACCATAGAAAATGATTAACACACTAGGCTCTCCCAATATGACTGAAAATCCGCATCTTAAATTAAATCTAATTCAGATAAATTCAACGAAGAAAATGAAATAGTATATTGACGTACTGAGATATTAAAATAAGTAAAAAAATAGAACCGCTCTTATTGGGGGCGCCTTTAATGCTAAAATTGATGGAATGGATGGAATTGATTGGAATAAATGGTATCTGTAGCGGTTGCATAATGACTAAAACGTGTCCAGGGCTGACGTATCTTCAGATCACGTTCTCTGTAAAAGGTAAGGACAGGATGGATAGGAAAAGGAAATGGGAGCGTAGAGAAAACGGTGTAAAGTCGACAATTTTGAAATCGACATTGCCTGAAATATTTGAAAGTATAAGAGAACATTAGAGGAAAAAAGCAAAACAGAGTACCGAAATATATAAAGACCGTAAGATAAGATCTACAAAACTAAAATGTCGCAGGGACCAGATAATATCCGGAATAGTTTTGGTTGGTTGGGCCACTCTTTTAAACTCTTCTGAAAATTAATTCATCTGTTCGGGTTTAGAAACGACTACTAAAGAAGCACTACATTAGCACTTTTTGCTATTCACGTCTTATTCCAAAGAGCACGAGATGTTAATCGGCATGTTTATGCATGCTCTATCGATAGTCAAAAAATGATTAGGTTTAGCGCTTTAAAATGATGGAAATAAGCTGATATAGAGAAACAAAATCCTATACAGTTCTAATAAAAAGAGAAGTCCAATTATCACCATTGCTATTCGACATATATTCAGAATACATATTTCAAGACGCTCTGGAGATACTATGACTACAAATGAATATAAAGAAGACCAAATTCATGAATATTTCTAAGAATGAACGCATGAACTACAATGTACTAATACGCGTACAACATACCCGTCCAAAGAATTAGCAAATATGTCTATTTAGGACCAAATATGAACTAAAATTGGTACCACTCGACTGAAATAAGACATCGAATTGAAAAGGCCCACTGCACATTTCGAAGATGTCAAAATTGTTCAAAAGTAAGGACTTATCTTTAACCACTAAAGTACGATTGTTAAGATGTTATATGTTTTTAATTTTCCTGTAAGGTGTTGAATTGCGAACGTTGTCCGAGACGTCGTGCAGAAAATTGGAAGCATATAAGCATATTTTCAATGATGAGGTGCTTCGTAGAATGAAAAAATAATGCTTCGTAGAATGAAAAAATAATGCATGCTAATTAGCAGTTGTTTATTATAATGGAGAATAATAAAATAATAACCAAGCGCAAAAGTGTAACAATTCTAAGTTTTAAGCCTGCTGTAATAAAACTTAAGTGACTACTCGAAGAAGATGATCTGATATGAACTGTGACGTGTTTGAAGAATGATAAACAAATGATAGATCTAATATCGAGTAGAAGTGTAATATTCATGAACAATGCACCCATATCTTCCAGACTTGCAGAAAAATGACATACAAATTCTTGGTTACTAGATATGCTCTAGAAAAAGAACTGATTGTATATATACTTACCAATTGGCATAAACAGGAATTTATAAAACATCGTTGAAATTGGAAACAACAATGTACTCCATTTTCCTCGTTATCGTTGCGAGCTTAATCTGGTAATTGGTCTGGTATGGACACAAGAAAAGTGAAAAATAGAAGTTTTAAAGTGTCGGAAGTAAATTAATTATTTTATGAAGTGTAAAGTAAATAAAACGAGAAATGGAAACAGTGTAACTTGTGGGACATAAACAATATTGATGAAGGATTAATTAATTAATTGAGTGATTAGTTTTGACATTGCATCAAAAATACCTGTGTTTTCGTTGTTCTGATCTGAATTTTAGTTTTGTGACTATATATTATGCAAAAAGCACTAATTTGAATTAATTTATACACTAAAATATTTTAAACCATTTTATAATAGGATATTTTTTTTATTTGTTTTATTGAAGTACACGTCATTGAACCTTATTAACTGTTTTATACGTAAAAGTAAATATTATGAATATATGAAAGAGAAAAATAAAATTTAAAACAATAATATACTTATATTTACAAAAATACTATACATGTGGTATCCGCTATACTGCTTCCTAATGCGAGGGTCACACTAATTTGCATACAATAGAAAGGGGAGTTTGATGAATGAAAGTAATGTTACAGTGGCGTTACTACAGGTAGTTTATTAGAATAATAAATATAATAATAATCATTCATGATTATGGGCAGATAATTGAGATATAGAAATTAATATTAGTATTTTTAAAAAGTCTACTATCTAACGATAAAACTTCATTTATAAATTTTAGTCATCATGTTCCAAGTAGTCAGATGAACTATAATTGTTGCAGTCCAGAGAAATGATAAGCAGCTCTACCTTGTTATCAACTTCCTACATCCTTTCTTCTATTTTAATCACATGTTCGCCGTACTTATTCCATTTTTCACAATCTTTACTCCTCCTTGTAAGAGAGGTCAAACGTCCCTCACTTTAAAAGTGGTGTTATGCCTTGCTACAAACCTTTACCCTTGCGCCCATACCAGTTCTATGACGTTTAGTGATATGGTGGAAGGCGAAGTACTTTCGTTTACACAGTTTACAAAGAGTTTTATTCAAATTTACAATCTCCAATAGCTCCCTTTTCAGCACGTCTTTTTGAAATTGCTTCTTATTAAAAACACACCAATTAATGACGTCTCGTTTTTTTTCAAGAAGTGGTCTTCAGCATTTACGTCTTCGTGATAGTTTTGATTAAACCGATAGTTAGCTACCACCGATAAATTCACTTTTGCTTGTTTTTATTTTTTTCCTATGATGGTTTTATTCCAGTGGACACTCCTTCCATGAAAGCTTGCCTCGAGCTTTTTAAATTTTTATCCTGCCATTGTTTACCCAAGTTTCTTCCAGATATCAAATATCGTCGTCGCCAGCAGATAATTACGTCTTCCTTTATTGTGTTTTTCTGTTTTTAGTTTTTTCGTAACGAAAATTTATAACCTTCAAAGTTTTCCACAATTTCCTATGGGCGGAATGAAATGGGGCCGCGTTTATTCTCGGAATGTTGAGATTCGGTGGCGAAGAGCTTTGAACGAACGCATTGAGAATAATAATTTTCTCATTTTTAGAAAGCGCAATTTTCCTAATTAGGGACTCAGCAAAAAATTCAGAAAGACTAACCATTTTAAAGAACGAACTTTGCCAATAATTGCCGAAATGTAACTATATTTACAATTTTAAACACTAGATCAACAACCTGTCCGTCTACCTGCCACTCTTGCATACAACTGTTACATACAACTGAAACAGAAACACATTTAAAATTATAATTTTGGCAGCAATCGGCAAATATGTTCCAGTCTTTGATTATTAACTCATCGACCACAATCTTGTCGCTGGATATCGCAAGTGACTAACAAAATTCACTAATATTAGTATTTGGTAAGAAATCAATTGCAACAAAATATATATGGTATCTCAATGAAAATGGCACACTGAGTCTTGAAAAACAATTGAATAACAGTAAGTTCGTAATTACTAATTACGAACACAAGACAGCATACTCCGAGTCCACCAACCCCTACAAATCGGGCAATAGCAAACTAGGAAAACATCCATTATAAATCCAGTACATAAGATTTTGTACTGGTTTCTGAGGAAAATGTTTTAGAGAGATTATGTTAAATTTTAAGCTGTCTAATGTGTTTTTAATATAGCAGGTCAACCTATCTAATCGGAAAATTCAACTTCAGCAACCTCAAGCAGGGACTGTTTTAGGAATATTTATAGAAAGCACACTAATACGAATGAATATAACAGTTTAATCAAAGAAAATACAACAGTCGGCGCGGCACATTGCTTGTCTACTAACATCTTAAATACGGCAAAGCTGAAAGAATGGTCTCTTCCGCTATACAATAGGCGAGTCTTAAACTCATTCCGAAGTCAAAAACATAAAACCTTGTGAAAAAGGTATATCGTTCGGCGAACTTTACAATACTGCGCCTATAGAATACGGCTAAAACAACTAAGTTTTACAGTTCAATGACAGCTTATAACTCTGAGGCTTACCTACATAGACGTATATTTAACTCGCTCGGTTTATTTTGAATCCACAAAACAATGGCGGATTGGTAAGTACCGTCATAAAGCAGAGCGAAGTAGTCAGAACTGCCAAAATTTAGGTTGTTTAATACAAAACACATTAGAGTGTTTTAAAAATATTGTTAAACCCCCGGAACGGGTTTTGCATAAATGATGAGCTGGTTTTACTTTAAATAGACCATAGTCGTGGACGAATGTGGGAACAAACCTAGTGTGACTTTCACGGTTCAACACGTTACTTTGCACATACGCGCCATCTCCTGAAATTGCAGGTTTTTCCTGGTCGAATCGGCAATACCGGCGCCCGGGATAGAACGCGTGCGCCGATTCTAGGCCGCCGCCGTCGGGGCGCCGCACCTCCGACAGCCCGATCGATCGGCCAGTAGGGGGCGCCCGCGTAGGCCAGTTCGCAGGGTTGCTGCACATCGGGGTTATAAGTAAGTCCGTCGCTAGCCGATTGCTGCCCCTGGAATGGACGTAACGCATCGAGAATGCAGCGACGGTTCGGCGAGGGGCCCCGGTGACAACGACGCGGTGTAGTGAAGTGCGAGTGCGGTGCCGTCCGACCTTGCAGCGGGGGAGGGGAGCCACAGGGCGGAAGCAAGCCGCCCTTTAAGCGATGCCGTGATGGCAAGAGAGGTACGCTAAAACGCGCCAAATTAGGATCGCCATCCGTAGTTTTATTTAATCCCCTTCGGCACACGACCCGCGCCTGGTATTCACGATATGTCCATGGTCACCCACATGCAGCGCGATGAACGGCCAAACTGGTACCGTGCTGCGGGGTAAATTGTGACAAAAAGGAGACGGTGGTGGTTAAACAAGGTTTTTCGGGTAGGACGCGGTCATCTAATTAACGCGAAGCTGATCGGAAACTATTTACGTTGTTCGACATTATTCACGTAGGTAAACACGAACGGCACCAACCCAGTACGCGTGGCCGTAAAAAACGAATTTTGTCACCCACTGTTTCTTGTGTACGGTTATAATTTCGGTTACCGACATCGTGAACAAACCATTCGAAATTTAAACGCGATTTGGCGCGTGTTTCTGCTGTCAAAAGCTGAGAAAGGGCACACCTTCTTCTGGGGAAAAGCTGTATACCGGGTGACTCTCTATTAATCCGTGTTTATACTTTCGGAAATAGGGGTCTAGCTGTCTAGGTGTGTACTTTGCCGGTGAATTCGTCTAGCAGAGAAGTCGTAATTGTCTTATGGTTTTCCAAAGGCGTAGTATTGTACCTATGACGTCAAGAGTCCCAAGACTGGCAGCTAGCTATAACTATAACAAATGAGGATGAAAGGATTGCCATCAACATACACACTATTTACTTAAAAAAAAAATACCTACCTTGAGCAGAATGTTTGAGCCGAAAAAGGAAAATTTCAAACTGCTCATGGATAGGAAAAAATTGTGGACTTTCCAACTTTGAAACGTGATGAATTTTCTTTACGAAAAACTCAAAACAGAAAATCATTTTTAATAGAGAAGGAAAGCGGGACGAAACTTGAGTAAATGAAAAATATACCGTTGGTAAAACGTGGCAGGATGATTATTTAAAAACACGCGGAAACAGGTAAAAGATTAAACATTACTCGCATTTGTCGGTGGTGGTTTACTAGCATTTCGGTCGATACAGATAAGATATGAATGCTGATGTTTTTAAGGAGATCATTCGTCTTTTTTTTTTATTGTAAGGGTGCCCTCTTCGAATATGGTTGCAGCGTCACTTATACCACACCACTTTCTTATGTTATCAAGAATGTTGTTTTCTGTCCGGTTCCCGTCGGCCGTCGATTTTCCCCTGCAGTATCAACCTGGATATAGAGTATTGAGGGTATATGTCCTAGATATGATACTTGCGTCGTTTTACCCCATCCATTAACTGCCGTCTACTCTACCTCTTCTTAGACTTCATCGTTTGTTGCATGATCCGTTCAGAGTATGCTCAGCAATCGGCGGAGTGTGTATTGTTTTTACCTTAACTGACCACGTCTCAACGCCATACAACATCATCGGCCATATATAAAACTGAATTACCCATATAATGGTGTATCGCGGCATATTTCTTAAATTTAAAGAACGTTGTTTTTGCTCCTCCAATTCTTCTCTTAACTTATCATCGCAATCCCACCCCTCATTGAGCCAGGCGCCAAGATAAGTAAAATTTGCGACCCGTTCGATATTCTCGGGTGTGGTGTGGTACTGGTGTCTGCTGAGCACCATCATTTTAGTTCTTGCGACTTTGATCTGGAGCCCAAACTGTTCACCGCACTCGTTTAGTTTATTCAACAAAATCTGGAAGTCTTCAAAGTTGTTAGTTTTGATATTAGAACTCCCGAACTCCCTTCAATACGCTGAATGTCTCTGTTGTTCGATCACCATCAATACGAATCTCAGCGGACTGCTGCCAATACAATTCTTTAATTATTCTAATATCCTCGCCATCCACGCTTATCTCCAGTAGTCTCTCCATCAACGGTTCGTGTTTCATGTTATCAAAGGCCCTCTGATAGTCAATAAAACAGATGGAAACATCTTGCCTTTGATCATAGCATTTGTGCACAAGTAGTTTCACGGAGAAAAGATCTACTCCAGCAAAAGTGTCTTAATTCACTTGTGTTTGTTATAGTCATGAATAATGCCAGCTATCACCTAAGAAAATCCGAAAAAATACCCATGAAAAAATCGGACGTTTTATAAACAGTGCAAAATCGTTCTCTAAAAAATTGATTTGAAATTCGTCGATTATTCATCAGTATACACAGTATAACCGTTTTTACAGGAGATTTTCACTAACTACTTGAAGTCGTCCTTAAAATTAGGTATCAGTTATTATGACTTCTGAAGGGTCAGAAAAAATAAGCAAATGCATATAAACTAAACTTTTTAATAACAGGAGATTATGCAACAAATTTGATAAACAAGACTTTAGTTAGAGTTTGTTTTGACACGATAGGAGAGAGTATTTAATAAACGAGTAACAAAATACTGCGGCTAAAATCTACCGAAGATCCAATCGCACCAAAAACCGTGACTCAAGTAGCGGAAACGTCTGACGTGCCTGGCGACCATGGTTGACTAACTTGACGTCTTGTGAGTGACACTTTGCGCACCCTTAATATATATTGTGGGTAAAAATGAAAAAGTCCAAGAAACATTTTTTGAATATACTTAACACTTTTAACACTAACTTCGGACAGGGTGCAGTTTTTTCGTCAAAAATATAGGCTTTGCCATCACGAACGGCACTGATGCACATGTATACGTGACCTTTTTTTTTATAATAATAATATATAATATATAATAATTTAATAATTTTAGACATAGAATCTGCCCTTAAATTTTCTTCACTTTACATCCTGTATATTTAATTTATCTAGTAGCTAGTTAAGATCAAAAACATTTTCATCATTTTAACTAAGCTAACAGAAAATTATGCGTCGCTGTGGTACATTATAAAGTCGAAGTAAAACGATCTTTATTAAGAAATAAGGTAGAAATGATTTATGTCACCACACTCCCACATTCCCTACCTGACCGTGTAAATTTCATTCTCTATCCATTTCCCCCAAGATCGCCTGGCACACCTACGCGGATCATTTACAATTTTCTAGGGGCATCTCGTACGTGCCAACTTTTGTGTTAAAAGTTATAGCGGTTCATAAACATCTTTGGAGAGAAAATCGGTAATATTTTCACGCAGTTTGGTTCAGTCTGTTAGTATCGCGGTATGGGGCAAGTTTAACTATTGATACACAGAAGAAATCGTATGGTGAGTTGAACCGAAAGAATATCATAAAAATAGAAGGATCATTCCACCATTCCACACGAAAGAGGACATATAACAAAATTGCGTGAGTCTAATACGGCAAAAATATTGACGAAATACGCTTCGATTTGAAAAGTATATGGATTTTTGCTACGGAAAACTAAAAAGTTATGTGTCAAAATTTCTGTCTGTACTTTTGTAGTAGTTCCAGCTTACACTAGGTGGAGCATCAGTCAGTTTTGGTATTTCAAGTTCAACAAATTATATGCAAATTTGACAAAAGTTGCACTATACGTAAATATATTTAATTAGTATTTATTTGTAATATTAAAAAAAGCGAATATATATATATATATATATATATATATATATATATATATATATATATATATATATATATATATATATATATATATATATATATATATATATATATATATATATATATATATATATATATATATATATATATATATATATATATATATATATATATATATATTATAATATATTATAATGCTATAGGTAAATGCATAATAACTTATTATAAAATTAACATATGTAATTAATAATGATAGATAACACTCCACAATTGCAAGATGAAATTTAAAACATTTTTTGACTAGTCAATTAAGAAGTGGTCAATTGACGATCAATTGACCAATTCCAACACTAATAATAACATTTCGGTTAAGTGGAATCATTTTTGTTACAAAAATTTCAAAAAGTAATATTATGATAAAAAAACTTAAAACTTATTTTCCTCTGTATAAGCACAAAAATTTTGCCTCATGTAGTTTTCACACGTTTCTATAGCATGCAAATTTATTTGAGCTTCAACTAATCAATATAATTGTAGGAAACCCTAAAGATCGCATTAATTAAATTAGTTCCTGAGCTCAAAAATGCACTGATATACAGGGTTACCTAACTCAAAGAAGTCGTGTTAAATTAAACAAACCCATTTTGTTAAGTCAAAGATGAGTAAGAAATCAACAGTTTAACCCCTTATTTCCACAGGCTGTTGTGAATTTATGAATACACGAATGTATTAAACTAAAATAACTTTATTAATAATGAATGCACTGATTTTAAGTTAACACTCTCTCTCATGTTAGGTTAGGTTCTATTTAACACCGTTTCCTCTTCTGTTTTTACAGTGGATAAAATCACAAGTAATCACAACACTCCTCCTCAATTTGAAGTTTTACAAACGTTTGGATAAATGAAAATCGTGATTACAAGAATAAACAATTGCAGTGTTATACAATATTACACTTATCTATAAGTTTTACAAATAAATCCTTGCTTAAAGGTTTTGTTAACATAACTGCTAAATTTTCCTCAGTTGGTACATATTCAACAGATATTTTCTTGTGTAATACTAAATCTTTTAAATAATGATTCTTTATATCTATGTGTTTAGCCCTTTTTGAATTCACATTACTTTTTGACATTAATATTGAACTTCTGTTATCACAAAAAAGCAGTGTGGGAATATTAAGCTTAAAATCATTTAACACCCCTTTTAGGTCCTGAGCACAAGCAGCCGCTGCAACATATTCCGCTTCGGCGGTAGAAAGAGCAACGCATCCCTGTTTCTTTGAAAACCAGCATACAGGGTTGTTACCAAGTAAAATTAAGCAACCACTTACACTCTTCCGATCATGTTTATCTGATGCCCAATCTGAATCTGGAAAAGCTTTTAATTTTACTTTGTCATTACTTGATTCATATTGCACAAAAGTTAATCCTTTAAATTTAGTAGTATTTAAATAATGTAGTATTCTTTGTTGGCTTGTCCAGAAATCTACTTAACTATGAAACAGAAAATGTTATATCAGGTCGTGTAGTTGTTGACAAGTAC